AAGCGTCATTGGAGATGGAGATTTTCCCATGGGAAAAAAAGGTGATTTCATCAGCGAAAATGATGATTTTTTCCCATGGGATTAACAGATGATCTATGAATCTATGACTTGGGTGAAATGATCCAATATTAATGGGGGTTTATAGAGATTATATATAATAATAGGGATTAATATGCATCTTCCCAATCTACACAAAGTAGGGCCCCTGATTATAATAGCTACTGGCTTAATGATGTTGACTTAATGGATTAGATGGATGTATAGTAGGGAGATTAGGGTGGGGCAGTGCTCACGCGTAATTGATTAACTTTTGAGCGCGGAATTGTAATTGAATTCTATTGTGCATGCTCATTGATGTAATTGGAGTACAGACTGATATCACCTAAAGCAATATTTGATTCTTTTCAGGGCATCCGAGACTACTTCAGCGGAGTAAACCCACTAAATCACAGAGCTCTACATTGGGTTGCTGGAAGTTTAGTTGTCACTGTTTGGGACATGAATGGAATGATCAGTTCACACTTCCACATAACGGACGAAGTGTTTATGTAGAAGTTGATCTCATATCTCCCCAGCATGAGATGTCAAGCAAATGCCATCACAGGAAAATCTACCTCCTGGAAGGCCCCTTGACGATCTTTGAAATTGTTTTGGTTGGTGAGTTCCATCAGAGTATTTCAGAGTATTGCGTGACTGCATTACAGAAAGCTCAAGGAATGAGAGTGCCGTCTGGTTGGCACTTGAACCATGTATAGTCAATGCAGTTGGAGAAATGGTGCACGCACTTTATCCTGCTATCTCCACATGTCACATGCTGCATGTTTCTTTAGTAACTTAATAACACACACACACATTCTTTCGCATGTTCCGCGAAAACATCCACACCAAAACTCCCAACACTTCTGCATCCATTTGCAACTGGGCTCCATCCCCTCCATGTGTCCGCCCACAAAATATGTCGTTCAATGGCTTTGTCCAAAATGCTATAGCCCTGATCAATTAGTTATTCCCAGTTCCATGGATTCACTTTGACCTCAAAATCTAACTCCAATCAACAAGTTATCATTAAGTGTTTTATTAAATGGCTGCCATATATATATATTTATAAATCCCCCCAAATAATATACATTAACTTTTAAGTGAATCATCCATTAAATTCATCATCTCCCAGATTTCACCCCTGTGCTCTGCTGCCAGTCGTCGCGCCTTGATGCTGGCGACCAAAGTGGCGCCTTTCTCGGAGACCAAACTGTTGGGCACGGTGCGTGCTTGATCCCACCTGGGTCTTCAAAAATCACCAAAATCACCTGGGTGGTATATGGGTATGGATCAATACCTATTAATACCATTTTTAGGGGAATGAACATCCATTTACCAGCTATTTTGATGTTCACCAGGGGTACAAGGTTTTGACACACTGCCATATATATCATTATATATCTACCCCTCTGAAAAAATGATGGAGGGAGTGAGTAACAGTTGGGATTTTCTGAAATTCCCAACTGAATGGACAGTCATAATCCATTCCATGGTTCCAGTCACCACCAACCAGGGATAGTAATTATATGTAATTCTTGGGATATATTGGTGGATAGTGATCAATACTGCCATATACCCTCTGGTAAACGTTTACATAACATAGCTATGGAAAGATCCACCATGCTATCAATGGGAAAATCCACGAAATATCTATGGCCATTTTCAATAGAAACGTTTACATAGCTATGGAAAATCACCATGCTATCAATGGGAAAATCCACTATAAATCACCATTTTCAATAGCAAACTGTTGACATAACCAGAGGGTATTGCCATAACAATGCCATGATGTTTCAGTGGACAACTCACCATTCTATCGGTGGATTCACTGGACAAATTTTCACGGAACCAAGCCGTGAAAAAACACATTCGTGAAAAACAACGGGACGAAGGGGTGATGAAGGGGTGATATGTTTGATCAACCCTTCAATAAGATGAATAAGATGAGAAACCACTGATTTTTCTTGTTTTGTTCACTGCTTTTTCTTTTTTGTGATGAAAAAAAAGAGAAAAGATCGAGTTTTGAAAGCACGTTTTCTGTAAAACACTACTTCGGAACACTTGATTTCACTTTAAATCCACTATTTTATTTAAACGCCGTTTCCAGAGCATGTCTGCCATAACAACTCTTAAGGTTATACAACGGTTGTAAAAAACGGGATACTTGATGATATGTGTATTGTATATCTATACATATGCACACTATAAATATAAGGGAACAATATTGGGATAGTGATCAAGACTATCGCCATAATGTGTAAATTTACAACGGGCATATGATGGGATATGTGATGACTGTAGGGAACTGGGTTTTTAGCTATCAACAAAAATCAGGGGATACACAGTAATCGACATAATATGATTTGCTTGATAAATGATGGCTGAGTTGATGTTTTGTTCAATTTGGCTCCCAGGAATAGAACCCAGTGATTCTACTGGAATTTTTGGTGATTCCCATCTCAACTGGGACTTGGGGATGTTCCTCCGGCTGACACAGGCATGATAGGGACCCCATTTTTTCAGATTTTTCAGGTGAACGATGGCCTGAACCATCTTTGCAATGATCTTAAGAACGGTTCTTAACAATACCCATATGCAACCCATGGTGCCGGTATATTTACCTACAAAACTGGGTGATTTATGGGGTAAATGTTGGTATATATTCCAGCACCATGGAGCACATGGGATATGGGGTTAAGACAATGATATCCTGAAAAGAACAACATTGGTCTAAAAAATAAAAACCGTAACCATCAACCAAGAATAGTATTGATTAATATTATTCAACATTGTAACATTTTTCAAGCAACACAAAGAGGGAATGAACCATTGGCCCCTTGACCCATTGGTTATGTTGGGTATGTGTGCAAAAAGCAAGTCCATGTCTCGTGATTTTGGGTGAGTGAGGATGTCGATCAATTTAGAGAGATGTCGATCAAAGTATTCAACAACAACCTTGAGAAAAGTCCATTGGTCCATGCATAAAAAAAACAACATTTCCAACCTACAACGAATGCTGAATCCAATGGATGAAGGGTTTCGGACCTGAGTGGCAATCAGATCACCCCTATTTTTTTCAAATGGTCTACCCCAAAATGAATAGATTCAATACCAAACCATACTTTCCGTATTGGTTTTATTTATGGGAAGGGATGAAAGATGTCCGGCTGCGTGTGTGATAAATAGAGGAACTTCCGACCCCTGTGACAAGCCATTGGTGTAGTGTCACCCATCCAACTGTAGAAAAAAATCAGCCATAAATCCTACTGAGCTATACAGTAGTAACGCGCAGAACAATACAGTAAGAGGCCACGCTAGGGATGTTAGTCAGATGAAGTTTGCCAGATATCCAACTTGTCTATCTACTTTTTGGGGTCGCTAATCACCAACAAAAACCAAGTTACCGAATGGGATCCCAGGAGCCAACAAAAACTCGGCAGAGAAAGCTCACTCCCTTGACTCGGCCCAAATAGTTAATATCTCTCCTTGTCTTATCCCCATCTTCATTCGCTCCCCAAGAGAAATAGGAAATTCACACATTTATCCCAACCATGTATTGTCAACAATCATTTCCCCATTGAATTTATTGTTACACCCTGCTGTTGTTCCGAAATTCACCAATTCTTTTGCAGTGAGGCCCCCAAACGATCGCTAGCTCGGTTGACTCACGTAGCTTATGATTCGGTATTCACGTTTGGGTTGGGGATATAACCTTTGTTGTATTATATATATATAATTTATATGATGGATGTTATATATATAATGGATGTTCATGGGCTTCAACCAACAACTGGGCCCCACACCAGTCAATCAATGAGGCAAAGGACAGCGGTCCATCAGCCTGTCATTTTGGATGGAACGCCCTGTCAACGTCCCATTGTAGTGGGGATGTATATAGTATACAGGATGGGGCCCCCCAGTTATAAGTTGGTTTATAAACCAATATAACCTCCATTAACTATAGTTATATCTACCATAAACCATAGCTAAGCATAGCTAAGCCAACCACAAACCATAGCTAAGCCACTTATAAGGCAACTTAGCTATCTTGGGGGCCCCATCCTGTAGTGAAACCAAAATTTTTCACCAGCCAAAATCGGGATATCACCATCAAAAATAAGGTGTTGACACTGACACAATGGACATGAGTTTGGGACAAATGGTCTTTTATTGTACCTGGGGGGCAATTTCATTATCTGTGAGCTCATATCCGAACTTGCTGGGGCTGTGTCAATGGTTGCAGTACACCCAGCACCCCGGAAATCCGGGAAAGTCTACTGCAACTATCCACAACGGGTTGCCGGGATCATCAGGATTGTTGAAACCATCTGTCAACGGTAGACTCGCCAATTATCACCCATAGGATCCATGGTGCTGGTATATATGCTAACATTTGGATACACTTGGGGTATATTGATGGGCTCCATGTTACCATATATTTATAGCATACATGGATCCTATGGGTTATGTTCCCAGTGTTTCTTCTTTCGCTTACACGCGTAGTTTTCAGATGTTTTCAGTGATGACCATCAGTGGTTTTGCGTTTCAGGGCATTTTTTTCAGTGGTGATGTCCATCAATGGGTGCTTCATGCCATTGGGAAAATTCTGGTTAACTTGTGTTGATATTGAAAAATGCACAATAGTATACAATAGTAAGTGTTACTGCAATGACATTCGAGCTGTGAAATGTTATATATAATTTATTACAATTTACACCATCTACTCGCATATGTTTTTTTTATTGGAAGAACCTCTCTGATGTCTGTGATGACATGCCCACAAACGGATGTCCATCCCCTCTTTTGATAAACCCTAAGCATCCCTAAGTCCTAAGCAATCAACATTGAGGCTTGAAGTACCAGTGTGATTTTCCCTTTTGGTAAGAGATAACTGAGATAACATGTGTTTTCCAGTGGATCAAAGAATCCGCACTACATGAGCCACCATTTTTTGCCGCCGCTCACTCGCTGGGTTGGCTGTTGCGGCCTTGCCGTGGATAAAAATGGCTCAGTAACGGTTGACATTGGCTATTCAGGGCTAATACTCATATGGTTCATATCAGGGGATGGGATTAGTGATGTTACTACGAAGACAAAAACAGTTGCTATCTTTTCTCAGCTTAGAATCACCAGCAAGGTCGGTTTTTCTTTTTCAAACCTGATGAGATGCCAAGATTTTGCGCTGTGAATCCCTGCAGTGGAGTTCTGTGACTTTCTGTGGCTTCGCGGGACTTACATCCACCTGTCTGAAGGCTACTCCAGGTATTCCAAACTCCCGTGGCTTTCCAACGGCGTCTTCACGCCCTAGCCCGCCTAGCCCGGCTTCACAGCCCGATCAGCCCCCGCCTCTGCGAAAATCGTAGAGTTTCAAGCCTTCAACATCCTGAACCTGTGGGCTCTGGAGCTCGGAATGACATAAACGAACTTGAAATCATATAAATCATCGTTTTTACATGTAGAATTAACCAAAGGTCCCATGAATTATCAGAAGGCCAATCTTGGATAAGAGAGACCACTGTGAACTTTGGAATTGATGATTAGTGTAGGGGAATGACTGAGAAATTATGAATCAACCATGAATGATACCCGATACCCCACAAAGCAATCATACTTTGATAAAGAAAAAACAACCAATTCAAAATATTCAATCAACTCATAGACAAGACAACTTCTATACTCATCATGATTATAAGCAGCACAACGCGGAACAAACAACAATGTAAACGAGAAACAACCAGCAAGATGAGTCAAATTTCTATGCAACAACGGTGACTGGGAATGGCTATAAGAAAATAATCTCCTAATATCTCGCAAAAAATACAAAAGGTGTGAAGATAGCCTCAGTAACCACAGTGTTTTTTACCAGTGTTTTTTTCCCAAAAACCTGAAACTCAGGTCTGGAACAATGGATGGTTGGAGATATATCCCCATTAACCCCATTAAATTCCATGAAATCCTTATTCTTGATGGTCAATCAATGATTGATCCTACATCTCAAGGTTTTGGGCCAGTTATAAGTTCGTTTACAAGGCCGCAGTTATACCAAAATAACTATATAGTGACATTCCCCATAAACCCAAATGTTCATCAAGTTATTTGTTGTGCGTCAACTTAGCTGTCATAAATCAGCGACTTAAATCCCATGGAATCCATCAAACTCACTCTCGGTGCCCGCACTAAGCGCCGTTCCCAGCCAGGCACGTCAAACAAGTGGCTCACCTTTTAGAGTTTGAGATCTGGACCCATCAAAGGTTTCCATAAATCGGGGTAACCTGTGGTAGTGACAAAAAAACTTTGCGAACTTGAAGCCATGGCCCATAGAAATAGTTGATTTACCGAACTTAAAGATGGTGATTTTCAATAGTTATGTTACAATGTTCAATTACCAGAGGGTATATCCTATTAAAATGGGTGATCTGGGGGTACCCCCATGGATTACGAAACCTCTATTGGGTCCACATCGAGGAACCGCACAAATTATCGGCCACCCATCTTCCATTCCTCCCATGCCCCGCAAGCAAACGTTTGGAGAGTTCGGGTGAGTTCGGCCATTTGGGGATAGTTGTCCTGTAAAACATCATTCCAGTGAAGTCCCAGTCAGGTTGCGACAAAATCTATCGCAAAAGAAATATCCCATTCTATCATATCCCATTTGTCAACTATCAATAATATCGGGGCTTGTTGGGAAAACTCATAACGACATATTTGATTTGTCACAATCCCATGTAATGTATCTAGATATTCATAATATTATCCTCTGGTATCCCATTGTACCCCCATATTTTGATAGTCAGTTTACACCCTTATATTTTTGTGATGGTTTAAACTCCACTTCCAGCGTTTTTAGTGGTTAAATCAAGTTAAATCCCTTTGATTCGCTCGACTCTGTATTTGTTTAGTGTTGAATCATTCAAATCTAGTTGTGCTCCATATCTTGATTGTGCAATCCAGCCGAAAAAGTGTCCGCACCACAGCAGCGTGTGGAGGCAACTCCTCTGCACAAAATTCTTGGCCGTTTGGAAGAATGGGGATTTCTGATCAGATCATGTGACGATGGGATAAATCATGGATCTTAATGGGATAATGGTAGCATGATCATATATATATATAGTTATATAATTATATATATGATTATATATATAATTGTATATATATATATATAGGATTATATGTAAGAATCAACAATGTTGGGCATTTAAACAGCCAACATGAAGGTTTCCTGAGTCATGGCGGGGGTTCCAAAATATGGATCCCCCAAATTCAGATGGACCAAAAGTCGGATGACAAGCCATTCCTCGAAAAAAAGTAGTGATTCTCAACGTCTATGTCAAGCCGTCAAGCCGACAGAATATACGGTAAATCTATGTAAATCTCATGAATTTCCCATTCAGCTCTCAGAAAATCCTAGAAAAAATCACGTGAAATTCATCCCGCTCCTGGTCCATCTTCTTGGCCGCCAGCTGCATGAAAGAATCCCCCGGACGGCCATAGACCTCGGGGTTTCTGAAACATGGCTGGAACATCCTATGAACAATCGTGATTTGATGGGTTTTACCCGTGGAAAATCATGATTTAATGGTTTTTTTTAATGGGTTATTAGCAATATATTTTCCCATGTTTCACTGAGGTTTAAAGTTTGCATCCATTGACTCCATTGACTGGAGTTTAGCCTGTAAATGGAATTTGTTCATATGAATATTGGTGTTAAATATATTTCATACTACTGTTCATAATGGGGAGATCATTTATGAATATCTATGACAAAAAGCTATGCCTTAACAGTAACTGAAACAAATAACCAGGTATCATTTATGAAAAATAACCAGTTGGATATATTATATGGATATCATTTCTATATGACTTACCCTCTGGTAAACTCTTACATATAACGAACTGGAAAGATCCACCATGCTATGTAGCTGGGAAAATCCACTATTTCGACTGGGCCATGGCTTCAATGTCGCAAACTGTCAGCCATTACCAGGCCGGGTAAGCCCTTAATCATCATATAATCATCATATAATCATCATATAATCATCATATAATCATCCATTAATCATCATATAATCATCATATAATAATCATATAATCATCCATTAATCATCATAAGCCATTGTTTTTTTGGGATTTCTTGGGTATATCCCCCATGATCTCTATCTATACTGCCTATAGACTGGGGATTTCTTCCCAACCTCAAAATCCAAGGATTTCAAACATCTAAAAATTCTCCAACGCTTGGTGTTTCGACTGTTTTTTTTTCGAAAAAAAAAAATCTGGGGAATTCAAAAACCGTGGGAAAATGGTGATGAATTGATAAGTATACAGTCCAGTACTAGGTTGTAATATATTTAAATTATAATATCTATATTCTACTATATATTCTAAATTCTATATATTCTATATATTCTATATATTCTATATATATATATGTATATAATTGTTAATTAGCTCTCAAGCTACTGAATCTGAATCATTGATGTGGAAAACCAACCATTTCCAGATGATTTTCTACGGAAACCCCGGGTTTTCCACATCTATGTGAGTTTACCTGAGGGTATTTTCTGTGGCTTCAGGTGGCTTACACCATTACATTTGGGTGGCCCTTGTTCAGGTGACCCTGAGGCCCTGGATTGATGAGTCGCACCGAACCTGACAATATTTCCCACGAAGCATGATGACTTTTCAATGCGAAAACCCATGTGCAGCACATACTTAGACATAGTTCTTATTATGTGAGCCATGACAAAACACGCACGCTTACTAACGCTTGGCTGAGGTTCATGTACTTGCTAGTCAAACTGCATTATATATATATATATACTGTGCATATATATATATATATGTAACATTCAAGCTACTTGGGTCCAATTTCAAAGCAATTAGTTCCCACATATTTCAGAAATCCATAATAGAATTATACCTAAATACCTTGAATGTTACATATACAAATATACATACTTACGCAGCTGCGCTTGACGCATGTCCACGCCTCTTTTTTGAGAACTACAGATACACCTTGCAAAACACATATGCTGTTGCTGGACATGATATCTACTGTAATTTCCTTAATCACAATATACTCAGAATACCACATATATAGATACAATAACATACTATACATGTACATATATGTATAGTTATATATATATATATATGTACATAGAGTTACATATATATACATATAGAGTTATGTATAATATGTATATATGAGTACATTCATACATACATATTGCAAACCAACATGAATCAACAGTTCCTCTTTGGCCCAATTTCCAGCCTTCACCATCCAAGTGGCAGTGACAACATCCACATCTTTGAGGTCCGCGGACCTCAACGATACGGGGGTGAAACCAACCTTCATGGGAATCCATATTAATCAAATTGGCTTGAACATATAAAGAAACATATGTTGGATGAGGGTTGAATCAATATATATATATATATGTATATTTATTCATTTATCTATATAATATTTATATATATATATGAAAGTGTTCTTTTTGAATTTGAAAACATGTTGGATGAGAGTTAGATCCCAGCAAAATCTTGGCTCCAACCCCTAGTGTAGAGGTCAATGCACTAGCTGCGAACGCAAAAAAATGATTACCCTATGGAAAATCACCATTTTTCAATGGGAAAATCCACTATACATGGTCTTTTCCATTGCTATGTTAGTTCACCAGAGGGTATTCCAAGAGAGTCATGAACTCCAACAAATTAACAGCGAAATGGTAAAATCTCTTTTTGAGGGTGTCAAGTTCCAAACTCTCATGGTTAACATCCGCATGACGCAAGCTGGGCAAAACATCCAAGCACATAGACCCTAGATTAATCCGATAAATTTGATATGTTACCAACAACTTGACAAATCCCAAGTTTCCAAGTAATTCGTTCATTCAGCTTGATTGAAACGTTCGGAAAACTTCCTCCCATGGTTTAGCATCTTATCTTCCATGCTTTTGGACATACATGGGGTTAAACATCCATTTTGAACCAAACCCCGATCATATTGTTGGTTATCTATATCATGATATGCAGTGTATCCCCAAATTTGTTGGCCGATCATCAGTTTCCCAAATTCAATGATATCCACAAGTATCATATCCCCTGGTTAAACCCAGTGATATCCATCAAATCTACCTCAATAAGTAAATGATATCGAATATATTTGCTGATTGGTACCCTCTGGTAATTTAACATAGCTATTGAAAATGACCATAGAAATAGTGGATTTACCCATTGATAGCATGGTGATTTTCCATAGTTTTTTGTATGTTTACCAGAGGGTATATAACTCATTATATAACCAATGGCGAAAATTCACATCACCGATTTGGAGATATCCATTACCAGCTGGTTATGACTCACAGTTCGCCATGGAAAGATCCACCATGCTATTAATAGGTAAACCATCTATAAATGGATAATTGTCCATGGCTATGTTAAATAACCAGAGGCTAAATTTGACTTAGCCGCAGGTAATAGATATTAATCCCGCTCCAAAGACCTGTTGAGAAGGGGTTGAGCCCCCCAACCCCAAATGCAGTTTGAGAAGATCTTTGAAGCTCAAATTAGGGATCTTATGATGTTTGGATGGATATCTACCATAAATCATATCAAATATATCAGCGGATAGTGATGGATAGTTATTCATCTTATTGGCAAGTTGTGATATTCTGAAAAATAGATCCCCACTATAGTCCCGTTATCATCACCATTATACCGGCATACCAGAAAATTATATTGAAGAACGTTATACAATTTTCTAATATTAGTAAATAGATGAAATCCCAGTTATTGGTAATAATCCTAGTAATCCTAGTAACTATCCCAGTTATTTACAATCCTAGTAAATACATATAGTTATTGGTACCTCCCGCATCTTCACCGTAAGTTCGACCCAGCGGCCAAGCATTGGCCCATCGTACTTCGCCCTGCCCCGGAGCTCGTCGGAAGGATCGCCAGCAACGCAGCCGGGACCACAGCACCAGGTACCTGCGCAGGTGACGGGGGTTACCCTTGGGGCAACCGATGGAGTTGGATCTCTCCAAAATTGGCTAGAAAATGCTATAAACAATCTATAGAACATGAAAGAAAATGGTGAATAAATATATATATATATTATTTATATATATATATATGTATATTATAAATATATATGTAGATATTTATATATTGAAATATCAAAAGATATCGTTGTGAAAGAGAGGCAGTTTCAAGTTTCAACCAACCATATTTGATGTTTCAAGAAATTATTGGACACTTAGGTAAAAAAATCGGCAAACCTAACAATGGATTCAGCGGATGGGAACACGATTGGTTTAATGCCCATGAAGGAAACAATTTACCACCCAAGAGAACATGTTTAAATCCTGTTAATCTGTTGAAAGATCATAAACAACAAAGCAAGTGGATGCCAGATTAGATCATACTATGCAGATCTGACTCAAGTTAGGCTAATGTTTATGCGAAATGACCGAAATGATAAGCAACGAATTTGTAGCTTCAATCAATGGCCATTTCAGGAACCGATTGATTGGAGGTACCTACCATCTATAAGGTCTATTTTTCAGGCCTAAATTTCAGGGAATCTCCCCAGAATTCATATGGCCTTTTACATATGGTACGTTTACGTACCTCCATCAATTGGATCCTGAAGATCTCCCATTGATTCAAAGGTCATTGCAGATTTTTGGAGGCTATCATCCAAAGAGATCCACCAGCCAGGGGTAGCCCCGGGGAAGCCGGGCTGATTCGAGATCCGCCACAGAAAATCATAAAATCTGGATGATCTATGATGATCTATAAACCAGAATACCAATGTCAGATTGAATGATGTCTTCGGCAAGATTATCAAACCATCATATGATACTTTCTATTAAACTCTGCATCTGTCTTCAGCCCAAACATGCCTCAAAGAGAACTGTTTGCATTAAGCCATATCCATTTGGTCAGTGTACAGTCATGGGATTCAACTTGTTTGATTATAAATGTTCCAACACAGAGTCATGGCCGTACCCCAAACCTTAGTCTCACTCTTTCTGCAAAAAAAACAAATCCGATATGTATTTATTCAATTTAAACCGATTCACATCCATATCCATCCATTTAAAAGTACCATCCACATTGCATCCACATTCCATTTATTCAATTAAAACCCATAGACGTCCAACCCCTTTGCAAAGATCATGCTACAAGGTGAGGCGTTTCGGTGATGTGAATGTTGCTTTAGAAACCCATAGAAAGTAGTTCGATATATATATATATATACCCGATCTGTATATATATATTTGTAGTACATATATGTAATTATATAAATAAATATATATATATATGTAATCATAATTAATTATAAATATTTATAATTATGTATATGATATGTATGTCTATATTGAGTTATATACCACAAACATCCATAAACCTTCCCGGCTTCACCTAGTGAACTCAACGGGGCACGGGTTCAGCTCGTAGCCCGTGGCACGCATCCCCTTCTCGGCGGCCATCTGCACGATGCGGCCATCGCCACTCCCGAAGTCCACTAAGCGCAGATTCTCCAGGCCTCGCAGGATTGGTGTCATTATAATATGTTTACTGTGGGTATTAAAATATATTAATAGGTACAGTAAACCATCTATAAATGGACCATTTTCCATGGCTATGTTAAATAACCAGATGGTAATATTATGATACCCTCTGGTAAACGTTTACATAACTATGGAAAATCCCACCATGCTATTAATGGGTAAATCAACTATTTCGACTGGGCCATTTTCAATAGCGAACTGTTAAATTACCAGAGGGTATATGATATGTGGATATTCATAATATGTATAATTAAAATATGTTTATAACCATGTTTCTAATTATCATATGTGTTTATATTTTGAATATCCACACTTTTGGGATGACATTTATTTTTCTGGATTATAGATATGGCTGATATGGCTTATAATGTGGGAACAACAATGTCATGAACCAACCATCCCCCAGTCATCACCATAAATTCAAAGGTGGTATGGTTACCATTCCCAGTCATGGGTGGTTTATGACATGGTTTAACCACATAAATTCACTAAGGCTGAAAAGTTGGGTCATTTGGGGATGATTCCCATTTAAGTATCGTTCCAGTGAGAACAGTGAGGTCGCTGTAATTTTTCCAGATTGGATCATGCAACCAGGACATTAATTGGGAAGTCACAAGGAACACATGAGCAAAATGGGATTTCACCAGAGAAAACCATGTTTTTAACCAGCAAGGCAGCAAGGATCTTCCGTTCATGCAGCGAATGAAATGAAATAGAATGGATTGAAGAAAAAAACACCTTTTTTTTGTGGGCCACGGCTTTTCGTGGTGACGTATGTTGATTGAAAACTACCCAATGAGGATGTAGTATCCCTCGTTGGGAGATCATACCCCACAACCATTTAATACTGATCTAATGTTCTAATCAGATCTCTAACGGTTCAATTTTTGGTGGTGAATTTGTTGATGCTCAAAAAAAACCAGTTGCCAGGTGGTAAACAACCATGAGTGTGTTTTCCGACTTATCTGTGGAATACGTATGGTCCAGCTACATTGCATGCACATACAAATATTAGGCGTAACACCCATGTGTTCACCAACGTAAAAGGTCAAAGACTGTATGAAAACATGTCGGATGTGACTGTGACCATGAACACATGATATTTTACCAACGAGCAGAAAGGAACTCTGCAAAAGTGGTGAAACTCCACGTGCCTTTGCCAGAGGCCCCACTGCCTTAGAGGGATGCCAGCGCGAGACTTGATGTTTATTGAGGCATGTTTGCAGCTAAAAAAACAGACCGAAACCAATTTGGGCCAACATGGGAAACTCACCTTGCAAATATTCAGGTGCGATTGCCAGCTAGACATGTATGACCCTTTGGAACATAATACCGAGGAAATTTGTCTATAGTAACTTCTGCACCAATCCACCACAGTTCAATCAAACGGCTGCCGTTCTTATCAGATCATACTAGCATATCTTGGCTGGGCTAATTGGCTGATTTGGCAGCCATGTTGGAACTGTTGCACCAATCTGACCAATTCGCTCTGAAGTCAAGGAGGTGGAAAGGCTGGTAACTCTCGACCACCGACCACCAAATGGTCTGATTAAAACACCTATTTCAACTACTTCTGGTATGTAGAGAAGAGTGGATATGGGCAGTGCACCTCAATGTGTTTGCGTCCCGCCTTTTTTTGCTTGGTGAAATCAAACATATCCCAACATGTGTCCAAACATGACCCCATTGGGAAATCCACCAAACCCCAAATCCTCCAAGGATCGAAAGCAACAGCCACCCGTGCATCCAAGAAACGCGTTGCCGCCCATTGTGGCAGAACTTGCTCGAAGAGGGCCTACCAAAGGAGGTCGGAAAGGTCACTTCATGGTTCAGGGTTTGGTTAACCATGGTTAACCTGAATGAATTAAGGCTGGTTGGTGGTTTTAACCATGGTTTTAACCATCTTGAAAAATGATGGAGTTATGGAGTTCGTCAGTTGGGATTTTTTCTGAAATCAACTGTTTCATGGAAAGTCAGAATCCATCCCATGGTTCCAGTCACCACCAACCAAATGATGTAATCATCATTAACTATCATTAACCATCATTATATAACCATCATTAACCATCATTAACCATCATTAACCATCATTAACCAATACATGGTATACCCTGATGAACCGACAAAATTCAGGCCTTGAATCCTTGATTCATCAGCTTCCTTCATGATTCACCCTGAAATTTCTCGGCTTTGCCCGGGTGGTTACATAGTGGTTACGTAGAGTTAACCAATCTATTCAACCAACAGGAAAAGGACATCCAAACATGTAAATCTATGGTTCTAACCAGTACAGCTATTAGACCAGCGCTCCATGGGAACTCTTGTCGCAGGATTGTAAGAATTGCATATAAGATCATATAAGGCTTTCAACACCTTGTGAAACTTTAAGTTGGAAACTCCGCAGACTTACAGGGTTGCATTTCGTAACATGCACCTGTGTTGATGCGCAACATGCAGTTGCACCTATGAGTTTCATGGTTCAGTTGCTTTTTCGGAGGTTGTAACTTAAGGACCTAACATAGGTCTGGATCAAATCTTGCCCCCCCAATAAACAGTGACCAAAATCATCCAGGGTCTGGTTCCCAGGCCTCTGAACATATTCACCATGCCCTTTGTTTGTTGGTTGCATCTCTAATTTCCATTTGCTAATTTCGAGCAGTGTCAAAAAACTAGTGGGAAAAACTAAGGCTAACTTTTACGCGGATTCCCAGTCCACAAACTGTGACAATCCCGCGATATCTGGAGGGTAGTACAAACAAACCATAATGACAATCGCAAACTTACCAAGGCGTTTGAACATGCTCCCATCAATTTATATACATCTAAGATCATTTGGAGAATGCCTCAGGCGCAAGATCATCATATATATACATATATCAAATGATCTATATATTATAAAGTACGTAATCAGTTAGAAGGTGTAATCTCTCCAAACGTGACAGGGCGCTTAGAGACTAAAAATAATTAATCCAGCAAACATGTACACCTATATACAGGTGATATACATCTATAAAGTGCGTTATCATACCTCATAGAAAGGTCATTAGAGACTACAAAATACTACACATATTACCCTCTGGTTATTTAACATAGCCATGGTATAGATGGCCCATAGAAATAGATGATTTTCGCTATAAACCTCGATGAATATTTCAGGCTATTCCATGGCGAACTGTTAGTCATAACCAGATGGTATGTTGTTTTACAAAAAACTATGGAAAATCACCATTTTTAATGGGTAAATCAACTATAAATGTATTATAATTATAATTATTTTTCTGGGTAATTTTTAATGTGTTTTCCCGGCACGACTACACTGGCCGCCGCGGCTCCCCGAGTTTTTTTTTTGCGGCTGGCGACCACCCGCATCCGCGCCGCTGGCGCGGACCCGTCGGCATGACCCGCGGTGGAACCGTCCCAGAGAAGCTGAAAGTCCTGGAACGTGGCCCCAAAAACATCGTGGGATTGTAACAAACATGGGGATTTATGTGGAATTATATATATGTGGATTTAGATGGATTTATGATATGGAATTATTTGGTTTATAATATATATATATATGTATATGCATAATATATTATATAATATATATATTATAGTATATCAGTATATCTGAGCTTCCCCAAGAGTTACCCAACCAAGGTAACTCTTGGTGGCTGTTCTTGCTGCACAAGGTGGTAACCCGATGGATCCATGGCCACTGTCTGAGAAGGTACGGCGAACCCCCTAGTCATCATACCCCAGCCATACTTCCTTCTCGAAGCTACGATCCCACTGAGAAATTTACAGTAGATGGGGTGAATCTAAACCAACCAACATTATGATTCATAACTGGCAGGCACCACCTTGCAGTCCTTTCGATGAACCTTCCACATCTTCTCTTGAAGTCGATCCGCCACGTCCGCACGTAACTTGTTCCTGCAATCGTTCAACTAGGATGTCATCCCATATCCCATAGGATCCATGTATGGTATATATGCTAACATTTGGCGGTATAATGACGGTAAATGTTACCATATATAGCATACATGGATCCTGTGGGATATGAGCAAACTATAGCAAATTAATGCAAATGATAATATTGCACAAGCTGAAATAAGGCTATTTTGGGATAGTTGCCCCTTACATCCCCTTACAAACTATCACTCCAGTGACATCGCGACGTGGGTAACAGCGGTATATGGCGACCATTAACCTTTTTGTGACTCACCACCAAGGGGCCGGAAGGTGAAGGTAAATGAGCAGTGTCCAGTTAAGCCTGTGTCATTCTGTCATACTGGATGGTTAACAGCGGGATTCCCTGTTCGTGGATGTTCATGGACCAGTTATAAGTATTTTCTAATCCCCAATATCTTGGTTAGGTATAATCTCTGAACTAATCATCAACCAGCAGGGGTTTAGTAGCCAAACAAGTAAGGTGTGGATAGATGTCGTATGTTATCCTATCAAAGTGGTTTCCTCGCTTGGAAATGGGACCAAACAAATAATACCCTCAAAAAATACTATATAATACAGATAAAACAAACAAAACACATATATCATATATTCAACAATATATAAACAATTAACCCTTAAATAATAGATATCATACCCTTAAATAATAGAAATTACCAAACACACATAATAACATGTGATATCATGTGATCATATTTAATAACAAATTACCAACCACATATATTCAATACCAAACAAACAATACCCAAACACTCCATCCTCCGCTGGTTCCACCTCCTCAAATCCAACAGCTTCAAGCATCTTCCGTGGCCACTTTGCACCGCTGAAATCAGCTGCAGAAACCACGCGTCGGAGACGGCCCTGCCGGGGAAGGGTCTGTGTTGGGGCCATGGTGAGATTAAGCTGATTTAAGAAGTTTCAATTAAAAAGAACTGGAGGAATTGGGGAGTCTTAGGTTCACTTGGATAGCACAATATATTATAAAATAAATATGTATATATACACACTATGTGAATCAATAAACTGACTGATTTTGGTCCATTATATATAATATAATGTAATATAATGTAAAAAAACACATAATATAATATAGTATAATAAAATATAATACAATATAATATAATATAACATAATATAATATAATGTAGTGTAATATAATGTAGTGTAATATAATATAATGTAATATAAAATAAAAAAAAATATAATATAATATAACATAATATAATATAATATAACATAATATAATATAATAGAATATAATATAATATATATTATAATATAATATAGTATAATATATCATAATATAATATAATATAATATACTATATCATAATATGATATAATATAATTAAATATAATATAATTTAATTTAATTTAATATAATACAATTTAATATAGTATAATATAATATAATATAATTTAATATAGTATAATATAATATAATATATATATGTATGTATATGTATATGGCTTCCCCGGTCACGGTGACCCCATCCCCAAACAATTCATGAATCAATCCCATCAAAGTCAGGGGGATGTCGGCAGTTACTTGATACCTCATTTCATATATCATCTATATCATCTATATCATCTATATACCTCATTTCATATATCATCTATATCATCTATATCATCTATATCATCTATATCATCTATATCATCTACATCATCTATATCATCTATATCATCTATATCATCTATATCATCTATAACATCTATATAATCTATATCATCTATATCATCTATATCATCTATAACATCTATATCATCTATATCATTTATATCATCTATATCATCTATATCATCTATATCATCTATATCATCTATATCATCTATAACATCTATATCATTTATATCATCTATATCATCTATATCATCTATATCATCTATATCATCTATAACATCTATATCATCTATATCATCTATATCATCTATATCATCTATATCATCTATAACATCTATATCATCTATATCATCTAAAACATCTATATCATCTATATCATCTATATCATCTACATCATCTATATCATATATATCATCTATATCATCTATATCATCTATTTCATCTATATGTCATCTACATCATCTACATCATCTATATCATCTATATCATCTATATCATATATAACATCTATATCATCTATATCATTTATATAATCTATATCATCTATATCATCTATAACATCTATATCATCTATATCATCTATATCATCTATAACATCTATATCATCTATATCATCTATATCATCTATATCATCTATATCATCTATATATCAAAAAACGTACATGGCAATGCTTGTATTTTTTGGAAAACAGTAAGCTGACGACATGGCTGCCGTCAAGGCACGGATACCAAGCCAGGGCTCCGCAGAGGCAGAACGCTCGCAGTCCTGACGATGGCATGGGAATTTTTTCCCCCAACGAAAATGCTGGGGTGTAACCAACGACCAACTAAAATATGGTGGATTTAAACATTTACCATGAAAAATGCTCATGTTACATTTTTGTTAAACAGAAGAACGCGTAAAATGATGATTTACCCTGAAAAATCACCACTAGAATTTGATCATTTTGGGGATGGTTTCTATGTGAATTATGGATCATTATGGATAATATCGTGCTAAAAATAATGGCACAGTGGCTAAGTTGATTGACAACTTCTACTAATTGGTGGTTTCAATCCCTCTGAAAAATATGAAAGTCAGTTGGGATGATGGAAATCCCAGTATGTGGAAAAATAAAATTCATGTTCCAAACCACCCTCCAGTCTAGATACTTCATAGCTTAACCATTGGCTTACCCATAGGATCCATGGTGCTGCTATATATGGTAACATTTACCATCAATATACCCCCTTTATGTTAGCATATATACCATACATGGATCCTATGGCTTACCCATTGGCTTAACCATTGCCTTAACAGTGATCCGATTCGTCCACGGAGTCCGAATCCGCCTGGTGCACCGCTTCGTAAGACCGCCCACACCTCGGTGCAGTTGGAGTCCATCAATCCACCATTGTGCCAGCGAGGCTAGACAGCGATTGAAAGCCTCCATTTAAAGCCGGTGAATTTGATATTAATGGATGATGTTTTCATATATGAGTTCATGATTATATGGATGATATATGATTGATTATATGGATGATATATTTTATATATATGGATGAGGTTTTCATAATTTCTCATATATGATTTCAATTGATTTAATATGGATGAGGTTCCATGGTTTCACATATGGATTATTTACAAACTTTATGGATGATTTTCCACATCAAACCTCCCGTAAGCGCTTCCAGGAACTCGCCACGTTTGACAGCGGAGGGTAGGATGGGTATGATGGGTATGATGGGTATGGTCGAAGCAAGAGGGCCATGACTCATTTGCTTTACTAATATGGGCTATCCAGTAATAACATATGGTTTTTATTATGTTTATTACTATCTCATTTGCTAATATTTGCTTTACTAATATGGCTTTTATTATGTGTTTATATAATTGGTGCTCTCAATGAGCCATTTCCAACAAATGTAAGAGCCATCTGAGAGGCCTCATTAAGTTTAAGCGAATGTGAAGTGTACTGAAAAATACTAGAAATCATAAAGCACTGAGGTTCCCTATAGGTTCAACCTGCTGCGTAGCCTATGGGTGTTGAAGCATGATGACTGACAGACCCTCCATAGTTGTCGCAATTGAACACGTTCAGCATGTCAATTCCCGGGTACACAAACTGCAGTTCAGTTAGTTAAGTTCACAAAGACAAACAGTGATTTAGTTTCTACATGTTTCTACACAAACTGCAGAATCAGGTATTCATTGAAATGCAAGAACAGAGGTAGTTACTAGGGCGATGTTTTCCAACAAACTATCGATTTTGCAGAAAATCCATGCACATCCTCCCCTCAAACAAGAGACGTGGTCGCTGGGGATCTCCCCTGGAGCGTGCCTGACCGCAGTAAGCCATCTACAAGAGCCATAGCAATATGAATTCATATCCCGTCTACTGGTTGAGAGGGATTTGTTACATAGGCTTATAAAGAAAACTCAACATGTCAACATGATTTAACATGTTAGATACATTTTAGATACATTTTAGTAGCATAAAACCACCTTTAGACTTTCAACATCTTTAAACATCAAACCTGTCTGTACAACCTTGCCGTATCGCTGCCTGATGTCAGTGATGCGGCCACCTGGGCCTTCGCGAGCAGCTATCAGCTGTGAAACATCGATGAACAAAAGGCACGTGTTCATGGATACCCTCTGGTAATTTAACATAACTATGGAAAATCACCATTTTTAATGGGAAAACTCACTATTTCTATGGCCATTTTCAATAGCTATGTTAAATTACCAGAGGGTAAGTGGTGGTTTATGACGTTTAGAACACGCACCCAAGAAGCATGGAGCATGGAGCATGTGCTTCTGTGATCACAGAAACACCAACCATGCTTTTTGAATTGGGATGTCTTATAAACCACCACTTATTAACAAATGTGCCTTTTGTTCATCGTTTTTTTTCCACAGCTGACAGAATGCCATGAATTTCGGCTACAAATGGATTCACATGACAATGTTTTAATGAAGCCGTATTCTATAGGTTGATAGTGACTGTTTGCAGCTCCATTTTTCCTTCGAAATATTTCGGAATCTGACAGGTCTCAGGCAGGGTTTTAACGTTCCGGAGGCTCTTGAAGCGGATGAGATCAACAGATAAGCAGTCACATGTCGAACATATTTTTGCTCTCATAGATGACAAATTTATGTTGGGATGAGATTGATTACAGGTTGGTCTAAGAACTCTATCTTCAGGATGACCAACGTCGGTCGCGCAATCACTTGAAGGCTGAGTTGCCAAGGCATTTGGGGCAACTGGATCCGAGTTGTCCCAAAAAACACAACTCGATTGACCTAGCGACGTGTTTTTCTATATAGAAGTTGCCAAAAACCAGGCTTAATATCCAATGGATAATTCGATGATTGTGAGTTGTGATAGGACATCCTAGTCAAAGTTGTTTATATCACACACTTGGGTTCTATATCGTTCAACTGATTTGGGGCCATCCCATATATCATATATCCCTCGGTCCTCCCATAGGTCAACTCACTGAAAGGACACCCATGGTGCTGGCTGCGTAAATCCGACACTTTGTGTTGGCATCAAACATATCACGTTCATCTGGTTTGCATGATAATGGGATACATAAATATTGTTAAATTTGGAATTTTGAAAAATACATGGGATTATCACCAATGTTATTGTTTTTTTCAACAATACAATTGGGTATAAAATATAAATACTTATACCGTACCACCATAGTTCGCCAGATAAAAAAAAAAAGAGGATTTACCAACGCTGGGGGGCGGAAAAACTTCATAAGGCTTGGACCATGAATCTTCCATGCGACCTGAAATCGTCCTATTTATGTAAGCAGGACACTGGGTAGTAAATAAATAAATATATAAATATATGATATACATGTTCTAGATGATATATATATACACATATTATGATACTATATATATATATGTATATATATATATTATGAATTATTATGATATGTTTGATTATACTACCAAGTGTCAATGGATTTATATACATCTTTAATGTTGAATCTAACGAACAAAAACGTGCTATCACCAGCAAGCTGTTGATGACATGTTCCGATCCATCAATGGGTTTTCATCAGGGTCGCAATCACTTGCTCACCAACCATCATCATTAGATATATATAGATATGTCATGATTTATCATCATTGTCAAGGTTGATCCAAACGCCGCAGGTACAACGGAGGTAAATTGGGTAGATATACAGTACAAGTGAGATGACTAATTGACCCACCTTTTGGCATCTCAGATTGGTGTGAAATAAATCCCTCATTCCATCTTTCCATCCTGGTTAAGAACGGGATTCCCCGATCTTGGATTATAATCCCATATTTTGAAAAAATGAAGGGTCGTATAATAAATTCATGTTATAGTGGAAGCAACCTTGATTACCATCTGGTTATTTAACATAGCCATGGAAACCATGGCCCATAGAAATAGATGGTTTACCTATTAATAGCATGGTGGATCTTTCCATGGCGAACTGTTAGTCATAACTTTAAAGGGTATAGTTTGATTTTGCTGATAAAACCCATATTTCATTTGTTTAACACCCCGAAATAATCAACCAACATTCCTTGGGGGTCGACACTCGTCCTGACCGTCACCGGGGTCACCAGGTGACATGGACAGGTCCAACTCCTTGAGCTTCGGCATGCGCTTTTTGCCCTTGGGACCCAGTGCACTCAACACCTGGCGTCGCGGCCGTCATGGTGTCTGAATGCTATGCCCAGTTACATGGGATTTTTGTGGGTTATGTCCATACTGGCAAACTCTAAAAAAAACTGGGTATATATAAAACATTATAAAACACCATATCCACATAACACCATACCATTGTTATATTGGGTATATATTGGATATGTATATATATAAATATATAAACACTATAAAAAGATATAACACCATATCCATGGATTGATGACAATTCCCCAGTCGCAGAATTGTTCACCCATGTTTTGACCATGGCGTCATGTGACTGCACGGAATGTGCCTGTCTATGTATATGTATATATATATATATATATATGTATATATATGTATATATATATATATTATATGTATATGTCCGTATATTTATCATTATGTATACAAAATATGAACAACATGGGCTTAACATTCGGCATGAAGACTAACCAAACATAAACGAGAATTGCTTCAGCGAGTTCATCATCTCAAACGGACTGGAAAGCAAGACGGGCCGCCTCGGGTAGAAAACAACCCAACGTAAAATATCTTATCTATCCGAGTTGGGTATAAATGGTTGTTTAGCTGGTGTATAAATATCTTATCACCTGGTGTAATATCTAATATCTTATCACCTGGTGTATAAATGGCTTTCCCAGAAAGAACTGGGATTTCCGATCCAGCCATATTTGCAGTGTATGGATGTAATTGTTTGGCAACGTAGATAGTGTAGCGAAATGAACGTCTGTCTACATTTGGGCCATTAAAAATACCCCTATCCCATCTCAAAAAAATCCTGGATGATAGGTGCCCAACTAAGATGAACAAAATTACACAGCACTATAATCCTCAACATGCGTTTGGTAGTACAACAACCCATAGTAACCAATCCTGCCAGTTGTCTTTTTTTGATGGAAAAAAATCTGGCGCAAAAGGATGGTTGTCAAAAGTTGTCAAGCAATCCTTTCATGGGGATCACGTGATCCCATCTGGAGCCTCTTGAGGAATGCGATTGTTACCACAATTTTATGGAAACTAATATGTAATTAGGATATCTTAACTGTCTGAACTCTTACCTTTGAAGATTACCAACAAAATGAAGAACAATAATGAGATATAAGCAGCAAATATATGGGTGACATAATCCACCCCCCCTTTGTGCATTGTCAATGGCCATGGCTAAGGTGCCGACATCGCGCAACAGCCGTGTGGTGCCCCAGATGCTCAGCACCTCTGGTTATCTCGCTGCGCTTGGGATGACTTGGCTTGGAAATTCTCTGGTGATTGATTGTTCATTACCATTTATATATTGGTATTGCCGCAGCAATATTGATCAATCAATAATTACACAATACCAATCATATTAGTGCTGATTATTAAAGTTGATCTAAAGTGATTATACTTCGGATATATCTATTCTATACCTATCGACTACGCTGCTTGGATCAACCATCCTCCAAACTACCATGAAAATTCAAACATACTAAAAACAACCCCGTCCAAGATCCAATTACAAATCTATAATCCCCAACAAGAACAATGCCACCAATTTGATGTCCTTTTAGTAAAAATAGGTTTGGGCCCTTTTTTTGGTATACCATGGTATACCATCTATCATCATTTACCTTTAAAGGGCTTTCCGGGGTTTCCGACCAAACCCCTCTATTGATCAACCAACCAATGGGAAAAGGACATCTATCAATGGGAATTTCAGGATCCTAAAATGGAGGTACTGTACCATTTTTCAGGCCATATTTTGTTGGGATGTTCCCTTACCAATGGGAAAAAGGACCCGGGATCAGCATCTAAGCTGACTGGATACACCAGGCCTCAAGGTCGCTGGGTAGTCTCGCCACCAGGGCAGCAGACCTCGAGACGACCGAATCGGCCGCGATTCCGAATGGACTTTGATAAATCTGATGTTTTTGTTTTTTTATCTTGTATTTTTTGTTGGGTGATCTATCATTCATACATATATAATATAATGATATGATATATTATAATAAAATATAATAAAACATAACATAACATAATATAATAATTTCATATAATATAGTAAAATATAATATAATACAATACAATATAATATATTATAATATAATATAATATAATACAATATAACATAATAATATATAATATAACATAACATAATATAATATAATATAACATAATATAATATAATATAATAATAATATAATATAATATAATATAACATAATATAATATAATATAATAATAATATAATATAATATAATATAATATAATATATTATAATATAATATAATATAATATAATAATCACATATATATATATATGTGTGTGTGTTATAGCTTGAACGTCTAAGTAGCTCCTTCGCTCCTTATTTCAATCCCTAGCTGTTCTTAGCAGCCTTAGCCGCTGACACGGCTTCGTTGTATTGCATGGATCCCAAATGTAGCCACAGCTTCTGCAAAGCTCCTGTCCGATGAACATCTGTGCTCGCGTCGATACATTCCAATCATGGCGGGTGGAATGAATCCCAAAATTAATTAATCCCATAGGATCCATGTATGGTATATATGCTAACATTGGGGGTATATTGATGGTACATGTTACCATATATAGCATACATGGATCCTATGGGAATGGATATTAATATTAAGAGTCTAAGAGTAGTTTTAATTGTGTCGACCCAAAAATTAATGCTTCCAAGCATCCCCTTTAATATTAAACCCAATAAGCGACCCCAAAATGACTAGATCCCAGAACCACAACAGGATTTCCTTTGGGGTGTATTTCATATTGGGGGGAATGATCCTTCAATCAGCAAAGGATACTTGTTACTCTGCCAGTGACAGAAACCACCAATCAAATCAAGCATTAGAGATAGGGAAAATGCAGTATTCATTCATATATTGATCTATGTAATATTATGTAATATTATGTAATTATCTATTCAGTTCTTTTCGCCCAGAAATATTGGTCTACTGGTTCCACATTTCCATCTCGCTTGTGCTGCTTCTTGGAAAATCAAAGGTCCACAGACCAAAATCCGCGAGTCCTAACTGAGCGAGTGCTCCCAACAGTGCCACCTCAGCCAGGTGTTGAACCAGCAATTTCTGATGAACAACTTGGAGACATTTCGATTTTGTCACTGGAAGATGCTGGAAGCTATATCTTTAAAATGATTTAAAGATATAATGTCAAGTCAAGTTGGCCGCTGGCCCACACAAACTGTTTCATTGCAGTTCCCTTCATTCTTGACATGGCACAGTGTGGTGTTGCTTGTGCGTGGCGCATTGACATAGCGACTTATCCGAGTTTGTCAGGGGAAGATTCCATGATTGGATCATAGCACCAGGTGCTTCTGTTCAAAAAAACTCTGGTATTGTCAAAATCCAGTGTGTCAATTTTTGCTAGTTCCTACCAGATCAGTATTAGATGCGGTATGTTGGATTTAATACGATTTAATCATGTACATGGAAGGATGATTCTTCGTAAAGAACCAACGCAACATTATAAGAATGAAACACAATAATATAACTTAACAACACCAATAGTTTCCCAAAACAAGCCAACCCTAACAAGAATGCTGAAACTAGGAGCAATAAACAACAGTACAATGTGAAACCCCCAGTTGTGAGTTGGTTTAGAAAATTTCCGTGCTGCATACCGTAGTTATAAGATGTTATAAGCATCAGCATAAACCATAGTTATAAGCATCAGCATTTATAACTATCAAATATTATATAAACTACTCATCCAAGTTGGTTGGGGATGAACTACGACATCCACCAGCGACTGGTATCGCCTCCAAACAGAGATGATCAGTGGCTACATAGACTTCACGCAAGGTCTTCAGGCTGCCCACCTGGTGAAGACTTCGGTGATCTTGGTGACAGAAAACATCTATCATCATCTATCCACTTTGTCTATAAATTGAATAACCACCAACATCACCAACCTTAAGTTTACCAACCACCCAAAAGGATCCAAAAGGACCGCGTACCTTGTAGCTGGTCTTATTGGCTACGTGAAGGTCATTACCAATTGGCATCTCAGAAACGCCTGAACTTACAGTAATTTGTTCATCCAGGGTCGCCCGCGCTTAAGCTAATCAGAACCGGAGGTGGATTCAAGAACCCGAAACGCAGGCTTTTTCTATGGTTTTGTCACTGTTTTACCAAATCAATTTGGTGGGTTTCCTAGGTTTCCTAGGTTTCCTATCCTTGACTAAGGATTATCCAACCTTTTCACATCCCTCCCTTCGTCCCAACTCGCAACTCGCCTCCTGGAGGCAGTTGGGAGCACTCAGCTTCCCTTGCCGGTGATCTTCAAAGCTGATGGCAATGGACAAACGTCGCAGCACCTGACGGTTTGCTATGGTGAGAATATCTGGTGAGAATATGAACATCCGTGAATTTTTGTCAGTGATTCAAAGTTTGGGGATGTTTGGGGCCTCTTGGGACTGCATGAAGATGTGTGAGTTTTTGATTTTCTAAGTTTGGGAGCCATTTGGGGAATGAAGATGCGTAAGCTGTTCAACTCACAGTTTCGGAAACTAAAGATCTCTGTTTGTTTTCAACTGAAACTTTCAGCGCAGATTCCTCTGAACCACACTTAAAATTGACCAATAAGCATCCTGAAAAGCCCTTCCTCGAGCCCGTCCACAAGTAGTGTGCCTCCTAAACGGGCGTTATACCTTGTACCATCTTGTACCACACATCTTCCTTCTGCCTCGGTTTCCACCCACGGACAGCCTGGCCTTTAAGTCTTGAAAGATCTGCGTCAGCATTCCAGTCAGATCCTGCCACCCGGTGATGGTGATGCTTTTGCTCAAGCTTGATAGGATGTACAGGTTAGTCCACATCGAGTTTTACCAGCTTGGATAAAGGATAAAGGTACGATTTGAAGCCACTAAGTTGATGGTTCCCAACATGTTGATTAGCATTTCCTGGTGCTTGATCTTTTCGAGGTTGCTGTAGAGAGCATTTCATACCGACTTTGATTGATTTCTCTTATATAAGTCCCTGGAAAATCTTTGAATCTAAGGGGAAATCAATCCAACCATCCATCACTAATTAATCACTTATACGATTCAGTCAGTCAAGATAAATTCCTTAGGCAGTCAATCAAATATCATCAGTGAAGGTGTGTAGGTACAAACCCAATCTTTTCCTAGGCCGAATCACTCATCCATGTTTTTTCTCCGTCAAACAAAAACAACCACTGTTGTGTTTTGTACGCTATGTAAAAACCGCTGCCGAAGATCATCAGCTTCAATCCAGATGGCATCTTCTTCGGCCCAAGATCCTCGAGAAGAAATCACCCTGGGATAATCAGTGGGATCAATCCAGAAATTTCTCAGATTCAATGGGATTTACCCTCTGGTAATTTAACGTAGCTATGGAAAATCACCATTCTTGATGGGAAAATCCACTATAAATGGCCATTTTCAATAGCTATGTTAGTTTACCAGAGGGTAGGAGGAGCTGGAATATCATGGAGCTATGAAGGTAATTAATCAATGCTGGGGCGCTATAAATTTACCCCATACTCCCCGGCCTGGTAAACATACAAAAAGCAAACTGGAAAATGGCCCATAGAAATAGATGGTTTACCTATTGAAAATGGTGGATCTTTCCCATCAGTTTTTTGTTAACTTTTACCAGAGGGTACCGAACCAGATTGGTGACCGAAACAATCATGCTTTATGAAGATCAACCATCGCTACTACCACGAAAAAACATAAAGTCCGAATCTGAAGCAGCGATCATTCAATCTGGATCACCAAGAAACGGCAGTGAAATTGCCATGATTTATTTATTTATAATATATAATGTAAGATATGTATATATATATATTGTATCTAATATATAATATATAGTGTATATATAGTGTATATATAAAGTATGTGTATATATATATATATAGTATATGTGTATATATGTATATAGTATGTATATATATAGTATATATATAGTATATGTATATATATATATATAGTATATGTATATATATATAGTATATGTATATATATATAGTATATGTATATATATAGTATATGTATATATATATAGTATGTATATATATATATATATATTAAACTATATTTTATCATATTATATGATATTATGTTATATCATATTGTATTATATGATGTTATATCATATAATTATATTACATTATATTACATTAAATTACATTATATTACATTATATTACATTATATTACATTCTATTACATTATATTACATTATATTACATTATATTACATTATATTATATTAAATTATATTATATTATATATATATATTATAGTATAGTATAGTATATGATATCATATCATATTATATCATATTATATTATATTCACCTATAAGTTGTACTATAACGGCATGATTTTTGATCCAATGACAGATCCTGGTTGGTCGTATACCATGGTATACCTAGCCCTCTGAAAAATATGAGTTCGTCAGGGATTTTCTGAACAACTGAATGGAAAGTCATAAAATTCATGTTCCAAACCACCAACCAGCTATGATATGGTGATACAGTATTTTCCCTTACTTTTGGATTCTTATTCTTCTGTTGTAGATTATACCCCTTATTATCTATTCCCATTATCCCCAACAATTGTCCCCATAATCCCAGATGATCTTATGAGATACAACTGGTGATACAATGATCCAATATGGTGATACAACTGGTCCAATGACTGATCCAATTTATGACTGATCCAATGAGAATTCCTCATCATCCTGGTCGCTGTTTGGCCAGGAATCGAACCTCCATTTTTTTTTTCGGATGTTCATGGATTTTCAAAAGGCATGGTTGATAACCCCAGAGGGTAAACCTAATTTTTCCACAGTTACCCTCTGGTAAATTAACATAGACCCTGGCAGATAAGGGTTGGAAGACTAGTTTCCATTAAACATTAGTGATTTTCAGGGTCTATGTTTATTTACCAGAGGGTATGTTAGTTTACCAAAGGTTCGTGCTATATCGTCATTTCAACTTTCAGACACCCGGAATTGGTCGATGGTTCACCGAATTTATCCATCAAGGGCCACAAAAAACAACAACCACAACCAACAAACAACAACCAACCAACAACCAACGACCAACAACCAACAACAAAAAAAAACACAAACACCAACCACAACAACCACAACCACAATCACAGCGACAACGACAACGACAACAATGACAACAACCACAACAACCACAACAAAGACAACAGCGACAACAACCACAACAACACATCCAAGACAGCCATAGTGTCCGATGATTCAATTTTGGGTTCATAAACTGTACATAAAATGAGTCATTCGAATAATGTATGTATGTGTATGTGCTACAGAATGACGGAAAAGTACAGTAGCTTAGATATCAGGAAAAAAAATGGACATAGAACATCTCCTTCCGATAACAACGATGATCCAGCCGCAGGTCATTGCTTGCGGCTGGTCGCCGAGACTCGACAGAGACCGTCTCGCAACCCAGAGCTTCCGAGCTGCAAAGTGTTGGCCAAATCCAGCGTCACCAGCCTTTCCCACCAGATCTGACCACCTCGCAGGCGACGGTTTTTGGACGCGACTGGAGGATCACAACTGATCAAAACTGGAGTTTCTGAAGCATTTCAAAGTTAGATCCAGAAAATGATGGGATAAACCAGAGATCATGTAAACAATCCAAAGATCATGAAACTCTGAACCAGAGATCCTTTTTGTTGATCATGGATTATTTCAAAGTGTGATCCTTTTTGTTGATCCGGAGATCATGAGGATCGCTGAGCAAAACACATGAAACAATGAAGGAGATCTACATGGGATAACAGCGGTTTTGTGTACGTGAAGCATGGGAAAAGTTGTTTCAAACAATAGATGGGAAACATGAAGGCATCAATTTGCAATAGAAGCTGGAAAAAGTGGCGATGTGTAATTTTTGCGTGCTGGCAACAGGACACACTCCTGCATCAAAACTGCTATGAATTGACCATAACAAACACACACACACAGACTTAACACGACTGAGAAACAAGCGACCAAAGTGTGTCCACTATATACCCATAATTTGGCACGGTGGATAATTGAAATTAGGTCTTTAGTATGTTCAAAGCAAATTCCTCCTTCATTACTATCATGATTAATGTAGTAAACCCCATAATAGCTGGTTGGTGGTTGACCTACCCCTCTGAAAAGATATGAAAGTCAGTTGGGATTCTTCTTCCCAATATATGGAGAAATAAAAAAATGTTCTGGTTTGGAACCAGCCAATCAGATGGTCAACATCCCCAAGTTTGAGGTTTATGAAACTGTGTCTACCCCAATAGATGACTGGGATGATATAAAATGCTCTCCATCCCAGTCGTTGGTTTTCACTGGCGGCGGTTTACACGGCTTATCAGCCATGATTGTTACTTATTAACCACTATTAATCATAAAATTAAGACATCATAATAGCCTCTGGGAAAATAACATAGACCCTGGCCCTGGCAGTCATCGGGGTTGGAAGATTAGTTTCCATAACTTTTCCGGGTCTATGTTAATTTAACACAGGGTAACCATAAATAGGCCATGCAATATATTCAATGGGAAAATCCAAACTGTTCACACCTCAGCCATTTCCCAACATTCCCAACCTTCCAGTAGAGGCTGAAGCTGTGACTTCCGGCAGTGCACTGCGTGGCACTGGACCCGCCCCGTCTGCGGTTGTCGCCCCAACGCTCTGAGGGACCTACGATCCGACTGCGAATTACTGCGACGTCTGGAGATGGATAGCCATTGAAAATTCTTGGGTACAGGAAAATGATGGCTAAACTACTACTACTACTACTAATAATAATAATAATCATCATCATCATCATCACAATAATAATATGTCACTGATAAACAACAACTATGTGGGTTGATAACGGACAATCAAATGTCACTGATACACAATAACAATAGTAATTAATGTGGGTTAATCACTGACAAACAATCAATGATGGGCACTTGATATCACAGTTAACATGACCACTGGTAAACAATCAATGATGGGCACTTGTTTAACTTTCAATCACTGATAAGCAATAACTACAAGGTGGTGCCCCAGTTTCTTGGCTAAACTGGTATGCAACTGACATAACTAGGGTTTACGTAGATATGTCTATAGTCTGAGTCTATACTATATGGTGTTGATAAATCAACTTGTAACTGGGGAGGCACCACCTGTGCGTAAGAGACGTGATCGCCAACTAAAATGACGATATCAACATATACCAACTACTTAAAAAGTCTAATCTTGCTCTCCAAAACATAAGCCTTGTGTTCTTTGAAGCTGTTTTTTTGCATTGCAAAACAATGGTCACCCATTGACCTATCACCTAATCCATGGGCCTGGCATGATCGAACATCGGATGTATTGCGAACAAAATCCCCATGCAAAGGCTGAAAACCATAGGAAAATGGGAAAATGATAGGAAACCATAGGAAAATGGAGGTTTACCCTCTGGTAAACTAACAGTTTGCTATTGAAAATGGCAATTTATAGTGAGTTTTCCCATCAAAAATGGTGACTTTCCATAGTTATGTAAACGTTTACCAGAGGGTACAATATACATATACAATCATATACATGTCCCCCTTCTCTTGCACAAAAATCTCAAGGTTTCTCTCCGCAAAACCCAATGTTCAATGATCAAACACCCATTTTTCTTGGCGAAATCTTTCTTTTGTGCTTGCCAAAAGTCCCACCATGTCCCACCGGCGTCGGCCCCTGCCTGGAACAGCTGCGCAGCTGTGCAGCATCCGCATTGGGGAGCGCATCCACTAAGGGTTCTAGGTCACCCAGGCGTTCCATGATGTCCCATGGCGCAGTGCGGACAACAACGGGGGAAAGAGCCTCTGTTTCAGCTTGAATCTGAGGGGTTTCACTTTGAAGATTGGGCCCGGTGCCGAAATCGAGGGATGAAGATGATGAAGATTGGGCTGTTACTCCCTAAAAAAAATCAGAAAGGGACGCAGTGAGCAACAAAACACATCAAGCAGCAATGGGTTCATGAATCCAGTCTAAGATTGATCAGGTCCTAGTGTCCTAGTGCAGTCAGACCAGGTGAACTATGTCGCACATACTTCCAATCATCAAGGTATCAAACGATTGGGTTTGAGGGTTCAGGGGACTTTCGCTTTTAAGCACTTTTAGGCTTCAGAACCAGTGGTCAAGTAGCGTTCCTCTTCTCTTCTTGAGACTCTCTGAACATGGCCAGCACATACTTTTTCAGATACCGAGCCTAGCTCCATACCCAACATGCCACAAATGGCAAGATTCTTCCAGAGCCTTATTTTGTGGGCATGAAAGTAAGCAGTACCACAAGGCCACGTACTCACTGCTAATGAGTAGGTTCATATGCTACCGGAGCGACCTAGGGACCTATGATGTCCGCTTTTTCCTTTCCACAGGGTCATGTTTAGCAATTCAACCAGGGGCATGCGAAATACTTCAAAATCAAAAGTGGAACCGCACATCTTTCACGAACTGGTGGTTTCACCATCCAGAAGAAGAATAAACTTATGAAAGTCATTGCACCATTGGGTATCATAATCCCCGAAATAGCTGCAACATGTTTGAAACCACCAGCAACTGCATAGAACCAGGTTTTATTGACACCTCTCAAAACCCTGCAATCTTCCAACATAATTACATATAATTACCATCCGGTAATCAAACGTTGCAATTGGAATACCCCAGTCATAGATCAGTAATACAACACATATTGATGGATGATTTTCCAGCTAGACACGTTTGATTACCAGAGGCCCAGCGGCTATCTTTTTTTGGAGCCTGAATTCATCTGAATTCCCCCACCGCTGAAAAACAGATGGGCGCCTCAACAGCCTTCCGCTTCATGGGGACATATGGCGCTCCCAGAAAGCGTCGAAGCTTGGGGATCGCGAAGGGTAACTGAGCGAATCTGGGCCAGGCATGGGTTAAGCTGGATGGAAGTGCAACAGGTAACATCGTAATATGGGAACTCACAAACAAAAATGAAAAAAACATCTGAGTCTAAAACAGTAAACAAAACCATAATAAATTATTGTTCTATCATGTTCTATGTGTTTTTGTTGGGGGTGGCTGCTATAGCAATCAATGGATTGGTTCGAAGAGAATCCACAGGAAATCATGGGATGTTCCTATCACATATCTACTGCAACTAGGGAATTGGTGATTACACGTTTCGAAAAATCACAGGAGGCGACTTTGAGGTTTTTACAGCCGAAGTCTGATCTTGTTTCTTGGAGGTTTCTGCGTGGCAAGCCTATTCTTCAGCCATGTAGGAAAGGCTCAAGACCCACGCGAAAAATGCAAACAAAGAGCATGTGATTTTTTTCAGAATTGTGAGTTGTACTTTTCAAAGTACCCCTCTTTCACAAAAAGTGAGATTTGAGATTTGTGTTTTGCAGCTGGCTCTCCGGTATTTCGAGATGAATCATTTTGAACCATACCAATGCGTGCACAGCTAGCCCGCCTGCGCCCAAGCACCAACCAGTCGCCCAACAGTACTTGTATAGTACTGGTTAGCGTCAATCCCACTTCACAACTGATTAAGAAAGACGGGAATTACGTAGTGGCAAGCAACCATGCCCCATTTTAATCCATTTTATAGAGCCATCCCCGTGAGTAGCTGGTTCATAACCGTTGTAATTGCCCAATAACTAGATGTGTTTTTGTTGGTTGACGCCAAATGTTTGTTGCTCCTATCCCATATTGTTGGTCACTACAAATCAGATAGTACTCACTGGTAATTCAAAAGTCCTGGACATTACCCTTGTGTAGATGGTTTCGATGGTTTACCTATTATTTCCATGACCATTCTCAATCATTTTCCATGACTGTGTTAGGTTACCAGAGGAACAGTTCGGAACCCATACCCTCCAGTAAACTAATATAGCTATGGAAAATTGCAATTTATAGATGATTTTCCCATTAAAAATGGTGACTTTCCATAGCGAACTGTTGGTTACCCTCTGGATCCCTCTGGTAAACTAACGTAACTATGGAAAATCACAATTTTTGATGGGAAAACTATAAATGGCCATTTTCAATAGCAAACTGTTAGTTTACCAGGCCGGGTAACCAAAGGGTAACCCAGACAGAGTGCTTTCGGAAGTCCGAGGCACTGCCAGTGCATTGAAGACGACCAAAAAACTGGTGGCTCCCAGCAGCACTTTCTTCACCTTCTGTTCTGCCACCTGTACCTCTGAGGCGTGCAGCTGATGGGAAAATGATTCAGAAATGGTGGCTTGGTTTCAAAGAAAACCAAACAAAACATGGGATGTGGGAACACCCCAATATTACCAAGAAAAAAACATCCCCAATTGGAAATCGGCATTGAACTTGCCAGTTGACCACACAAACTGTATACATGTATGTTTGCCCACTGGAGTACTCCCATATAGAACAGCCTCAATTCAATCCCATTAGAATCCCATACATCCCCATTTTGGTTGGTTGTACCCGTTGTACCCGTTGTAGCACCGGATTTTCTTGGCTAGATTACCATTCAAAGCCATCAGCCAAAAGATGCGCACGTTTTCCATGTCCACTGTGTCCACTCAGAATTTTTACATAACAATTGGGATGCACATTGGGGTTTAATTTACCACATCAAAACGGGTTTTCCATGTAATTTCCCACATCATTAATTCACCACATCATTGATTCCACTTCCTGGTGGTTTTTTATGTGGTCCCAATGATACCCTCTGGTAAACTAACATAGCTATGGAAAATCACCATTTTTCATGGGAAAATTCACTATAAATGGTGATTTTCAATAGCTATGTTAAATTACCAGAGGGTAACCATCATTTTTATGGGCTATGATAAATCATCCCATTTCTACAGGGCTATACCGCTATACCCAATTTCATAAAAACTCATTTTTGGGGCTCCGGACATTGGCTTTACCACATTATTACAATGTGAGGCCCCCAAGATAGCTAAGTTGGTTTATAACTCCAATAACTATGGTTTATGGTACTTGTAACTATAGTTACTGGGGCTTATAAAGCAACTTATAACTGGGGGGCCTCACATTGTAAGCAATATTGTCATTTGTTAACCGTTGGTACCCATGTACTAATCGTACACTTGCTAGGATTTTACATTATAAACCAACCATTTGTATATCATTTGTTCCATTTACACTAAATGGTTGGTATAAACCAAACTTTATGGTTAGTAAATATAAATCTTCAATTTTTTCCAGTATAAACCAACCATTTGTTTACACTAAACCAACCATTTGGGGATCCCCCATTTATGGGTTTTGTGTCAAACTATTTCTGGACAAAACAATCATCCTGATCTGCACCTGGAACCCGAGGATGTCCAGTTTCTTTTTCTTCACCTGACACCGTTAAAAATGGACACCACTACGCAGTTTCAGCATCTGTTGTTTTTGCTTTGATACATGTCAGCGACTCGTAATGTGTACTATATGTATGTGCACTATATGTATGTATACATATATGTATATATAATATATGTAAATATGTATATATATATATACATACGTAAGGTCTTTTATGAAATTATAAATATACATGCGAGATCATGCTAACTCCACATTAGCAAAGATGTTTTCGGGAGTGCATCCAACCCATCGTGGTCTTTGCACATGCTCTCTGTCGGCAGCATGGCAAGTGCAGGTCATCAACACTTCGTATGGTGTTTACAAAGCTTCGAAATCAGAACACATCGATGGGGCTATGTCTATATACTGTCAGTCCATCGCGTTTTGCTTTCCAAACTTGGTATCACAACAAAAATATCAACTGAAGTTATCTTGGGATTCAACAGAACTCCTCCTGAACATACAAAGAGGACTTCGTCACAAAGCTGGGCCAAAAAATACCCCAGCCTGCGGCGTATCGGGGGCAGCAGGGTCAACGGTGGCCTGGACGTCTCGTGGTGTCATTCTTTGGGATGCTATGGGACAATATGTGGGATATGAGATGAAATTATATGGGACACCCTCGGCTAATTTAAGATAGCTATGGAAGCACACAATCTTTTATAGGTAAATCAATGCATATCATCTATAGTTATAAAGGGACCATTTTCCCATAGCTATGTTAAATTGCCGGACGGTAACATGAGGATCATCACAAATTCAAGCTGTTGACGACCCACTGATTTTGGCAATGTTCTGCTTACAAGCTGACCATAAAACCACACGTTGTTTGCCACAATTGTGACCGCCAGCACCTCTATAGTGTCCTTCTGTTTGTCCACCTCAAAAGTTTGTCCACCTCAAAAGTTTGTCCACCTCAAAAGTTTGTCCACCTCAAAATAACATATATATATATATACAAAATATATCCATCAATTCAAGCTATTTATCTATCTAACCATCTATATACTTATCTATCGATATGTCTATATGACTATCTATCGATCCATCCATGAATGTCTATATCGATCTATCTATCTATCTATCTATCTATCTATTTATCTATCCATCTGGTTATCTAACTATCTATCTATGTACCTATATATCTATTTATCAGTCTATCTATCTATCTACCTACATATATCTATCTATATATGTATATATCTATCTAACTGTCTATCTATCAACATAGTAAAACCTACTCAAATATTATCCTATCCTATCGACCTATCTATATATATATACGTATATATCTATTGAGTCTACTCAAAACTTATCCTATCCTATCGATCTAACGATATATCTATGTAATCTATCTATTTATAATCTATCAATCAATCAAATTGATAAAAATCATATATATAATCAAATCTGTCTAAGCTATATAATATGTCTAATCCATTTAATCCATCTAATCCGTCTAATCTATCTAATTATCTAGCTGTCTATCTATCTATCTATCCATCCATCTATCTATTTTTCTGTCTATCAATCCATCCATCTAGCCATCTATCCATCTATCCATCTATCCGTCTATCTGGTTATCTGTCTATCTGTCTATTTGTCTATCTGTCTATCTGTCTATCTGTCTACCTGTATATCTGTCTATCTGTCTATCTGTCTATCTATCTATCTATCTATCTATTTGTCTATCTATCTGTAGTTATCTATCTATCGATCTATCTATCTATCTATCTATCTATCTATAGTTATCTATAGTTATCTATCTATCGATCTGTCTATCTATCTATTTATCTATCTATCTAGTTATCTATCTACCTAATCTACCTGATCTATTAAACCTATCAAATCTATCAAATCTGAGAAACCTATCTAATATATCAAATCCATGCAATTTATCTAATATATCTAATCTATTCAGTTTGTCTTATCTAATGTATCTACTCTATCTAATCTATCCAATCTATCTAATATATCTAATCTATCTATTCTATCTTCAATCTATCTGATCTATCCAGTCAAAATAATATAAGTTATCTAATATGTCTATGTTTGTCGTTAATATTTTAATATGTCTAATGTTTCCAATCTATCTAATCTAATCCAATATAATCTAATCTATATGTCTATCTATCTATCTGTCTATCTATTTATCTATCTATCTATTTGATCACTATTACATTCTGATCTAATCTATTCTAATCTTATCCATTTAATCTATCTATCAAATCTGCCCATGCAATCTATCAAATCTATCAATCTATGTAAGCTATCTTATATATCTAATCTATACAAGCTATATAATCTAATCCATCTCATCTATCTGATCTTTCTAACCAATCTATCGAATGTTTCTATTATTTTAAATATGTCCGATCCATCTAACCTATCGAATTTAATCGTTCAAATCGATCTATATCTACATATATGATCTGTGGACAAATTTTACTCTATACTCACAATGGACATGGCAAAAGTGGGTGGTCCCCTATCGGTTGTGAAGGTTTTCACACAAATTTGGACGTCCCAAGACGTCCCAAGTCCACTCCCTACTATACTTTAGTCTTCTGCTAATCCTGTCGGTTTCTCATATGCATATATTATATGTATATGTTTAATATAAAGTTTATATGTATATTATACATATATATATATATGTATATATATATATATGTATATATATATATATGTATATATATATATATGTATGTATTTAGTAATATTTAGTAGATATAATACGTATAGACATATTCGGGTAGTCAATATGATGGTGACAAACGACCAGAAGTGCGGCCGAGAAACCTCCCCCATGGAATCACCTGTGGCGAGAGGCGAAAAATCGGGGGCAGACCTTGGTGATTTCAACACAGTCACTGATTAACCGGGTGTGAGTTTACCGGGTCCGGTTGGGGCCTGTGATTTTCTACTAGAAAATGAATGTTTACCATTGGTTTTTGACATGGATTAACATGGTATAACGATCATAACTGATTGGTGGTATACCTACCCCTCTGAAGAAATGTGAGTTCGTCAGTTGGGATGATGAAATTCCCAACTGAATGGGAAAATAAAACATGTTCCAAACCACCAACCAGGTCATATCATACTGCATCTACAGTAAAAAAAAGGCATTCCTTGGTGACAAAAAGAATTTGTTTCTTCAAGATGTTGATTAAAGACTAGAATAGAGATCAACGAAAAATTGAAACTCGTTTTGGATTCGACAAGGGAAAGTCGGGAATTGAGCAATCACAGATGGTTCTCTTGCCAATAAAACAGCATAAATTTGACAACCAAGGACGCGCACACACACAACCATTTCATCATTCTCCGGGAAAGTCCATACTGCATCACTGGCACCTGGGATACCCTCCGGTAAATCGGTAGTTTCTTGAAGTTTGCAAACTGGAAGCCATGGCCAGTTCGATGATTTACCTACCAAGTACCCTGTTGTAATTTGACATAGCTATGGAACCCTTTGGTAATTTAACATAGCTATGGAAAATGGCCCATTTATAATTGATTTTCCATTAAAAATGATTATTTTCTATAGCAAATTGTAACACAAACAGGATGCCGGTGCGTGCCTTCAACAGGTGGGTCAAAAATAAGGTATCCCTCCGGTCTATCAGCATTTTCTCTAGGGGAATATATATATATTGTATTATATCATATTATATTATATTAAATTATATTATATTTTGAATTATATAATATTTTACCAAATTATATTATATATACTATATATTCAAAACTAAATATATGCTATATTATATTATATTATACTATATTTATATTATAATATATGTTATAATGTATCATATTATATTATGTTAAGTTTTATTAAATGATATATTATATACTATGTATTATATATTATATATTATATATTATATATTATATATTGTGTTATAGATTATATATATATATATTGTTTTATCATATATTAAATTATAATATATATATATATATACACAACATTGTCAGACACACCCATGTGGGCTAGACCTTCTGACCTCGGGAAAATCATCAACTCGGAATCTTTTTGGCGCCTTCGGCAGTCCAAAACCATGCGTGCTTCGGGTGCCAAGGGTGAAAGTTCGTCGTACTGTGGTCAAACAGTGATGGAATGAGTACACAAACCAAACTTGCGGCCACTTGAGTAGGGGAAACCTTTCTTGTTGGGCCCTGGACATTGTGATATGTGGGCTTGTCCTAGTTCTTAGGCCCTATGTGACCATCATCTCAGGGAGCGTAAAGAAAGCAGTGCCATGCTATTCCACTGCTTTTGTGTAGAGGTACAAAGTGGGGCGCCAGTTTACGAAATCGCGATTGGTTGGTGCAAATAACTCCAATAACTATTGTGTCTTGTACCTATAGTGCTCATGCGGTGAATCCAAACCAACCTTGCCATCACTGGGGGGGCCCACATTGTACATATTCTACTCTCCATCAATCTCTCCGCCTTCGCTAGTCAGCCATTTGGACCACATTTTTCGATGACAACCAGCTAGTCCGGAAGGCTACCATTTGAGCCTAAAGCTGAAGGTGCGGTGTAGCGAAAATGTGTCAATCCAAGAGAATAGTGAATAAAGTATACAGTATAATTACATTCAAATAGAACTGAACATAAACCCAAATATTGGAATAAATAGAATACCCAAACTCTCTGAATCTAGACTCTGTATGAGAGTTCTGATAGATATCTAGATACATTACATACTCTATAATTATTGCCGGAAGAGTATAGATATGTATAGAGTATAGATTCAGATAGATAGAATAATACCCAGATGATCAAATTCAACTTCCGGCAAGTTCTCCGGGAACCACCTGAAGCACAGCCAGTCATGTCAATATAACTTCTGTCGGACAAATACAAAATCTTACAAACCACACCAGGCAAAGTTAAAGCATAATCATAAGTCAAACCCTCTCAACACAGGGCAGACAGGCCAAATTGATCTCAGCGATGTATCGACGAAGGTCTTCCTGGACTCTGCTGCTGCAGAACAGATGCCCCTTGAGAAAAATTGGAGATGTACCCTCCAGTAGACTAACATAGGCAACATGAAAAATGTATAAAAATGTTTATAAATGATTTACCAAAGACTGGTGATTTTCGATAGCGTTAGTTTTCGATAGCGATAGTTTACCAGGAATCCAGCAAAGGATATTGTCAAAGATTCGGACCAGAATGCCTGTTGTGGGACTCCCAAATCTAGCTTTTCCTCCAGGAAAATCGTATCATGCAACACTGTTTAGATTGCTCGATCTCACATATCTATACACATCTCACTTTTGAGTGCAGAAAGCCCGAGTTCATCACATGTGTTGCACCGAGTTGCAGGTGTGGCAGCTGTATCCATCAACCGCAACATGATCTCGACCTCGGCTTTTTAAGGACTTTATATACACATTCACAGCATATTTGTAAAGTGTGGCTAAACATTCATCAACTAACCAACAAAGCCAGGGTTTACAAAAACCATGGTTTTGTCTTTAGAGTTGTTCAAACACATAATCATAAAGCCTCATAAAGCCTCATAAAGCTTTGGTATCAACCATCGCAGGGTGAAATTTCACCAGGAAGACAAGAGTACCATGTGTTCTTTTTCAACATCTTTGGTGGAACAAAGTGCAAGACTGATGTACACATCTCATGTGTTCCTCATATTTTTCGCCTGGGAATAGTGACTAGATGTGACTAGTGACTACAAATTCTTCGACCCGGCCTCAACAATGTCTGAACAAACAATGTCCCCATGGCGTCAAAAATATCAAACATGCCATGGGAAATCTCAATCTGTGGCGACTGATTGTCTACCGGAGGGATGTCACATTGCTCCCGGCACCCCCATCACTGGAGGGTGCTGAACGAGCAGTTCCAGTTAGTATAGATATGTATCCATAGTGATAGGCCCCCCCCAATTGAATCAATATTCAATATTATCTGGTTGGTGGTTTCAACCCATCTGAAAAATATTAGTCAGATTGGATCATCATTTCAACTATTGGGGAAAATAAAACATGTTCCAAACCACCAATCAGTTATCAGTTGCAAACCATTGTTAACCAAAATGTCATGTCAATTTTGGATTAACCATATTATATACGTTGTTCACAATATTCCAGTTGCCAACCACTCTTAACCGTATGTTATGTCTTACCATTGTTAACCAAACTATCAATTTCCATGGTTTATATATGGTGAATATCCATTTTGCTCACCCCAGTCCTGCACCCAGTGACTTACCCTCTGGTAAACGTTTACGTAACGAACTGGAAAATCACCATGCTATTAATGGGAAAACTCACTATTTCAATGGCCATTTTCAATAGCTATTTTGACATAACCAGAGGGTAAACCTCCATTTTCCTATGGTTTTCCTATTTCCCATGTTCCTGTGGTTTTCCCATCATTTTCCTATGTTAGTCATTACCAGAGGGTAGATGATCCCTCAAAAACACCAAAAACCCAAAAAGCCTCGCGCTCCTCTAAGAGCAAGTTGTTGGACTCATCGACCTGACGCATCCGTTCTGAAAAAAAGTCGATCGTATATCCCGTGATTCCCATGGCACCCCCATAAAACCATAGGAAAACCATAGGAAAATGGGAAAACCATAGGAAAACCACAGGAACATGGGAAAATCATAGGAAAAGCCATAGGAAAATGGAGGTTTACCCTCTGGTAATGGCTCACATAGCTATTGAAAATTGCCATTTATAGTGAGTTTTCCCATTAAACATGGTGATTTTCAGTAGCTATGTTAGTTTACCAGAGGATAAAATTATAGGTATATAAATCATGATAAATCCTTCAAAAATGAAGCATTTTCCATAGCTATATTAAATAGCCAGAGGGTAAGAGAAAATTTACTGGTTTAAGCCCCATGATCTTAATGAGAAAATACCTATGGTTTCCAGTTAAGATTTTCCCAAGAAAACCAATCCATTGATGGTCACACATTCTGAAATAATCTTCATAAGCTCTGGACAATCACCCATTCTGAGACTGGCAACATCTGGCAACTATCAATAACCAAGATTATTTAATATCCATCTTTCGGTTATACTCCTCTGGCTTATCAACTTCTATCATTGTTTTATCTGGGATATATTCGTAGAGCTCGCCTTTTTGAGGCGTGTTGGAAAATCATTAGACAGAATAAAACAGAGCTAAGAAAGTGCTATCAAACATGACTCTTTGTCATACCAGAGATGCCTTGCGCTGCTCTACTGTAGCTATTACCATCCAATGTTCCATGCGCTCACGATGCATGGTTCACAATTTTGTTCACAAGCTGAAATGGAGTGGACATATCCCAACCATATGACTAGCCTCGTTTTGAGTAATGTCCATATGTTTGATATTCTTTGACGACTTCGTGCTGTAAATCCAGTGAACTGTGATAAATAGTCCGCATTTTCTTGAGCAGAAATCAACAATGTGCCAATGTGCCATCTTGCGAGACTACTATTTTTGTTGAGGGACCATATCATCATGTAACTGTCATGGTTGGTGGCTTTGACCCTGCAACAAATACGGGCCGAATGGGTCATAACTCAGATCCGTGGAAGATGATCCAAAAATGTGGTTGTCCACCTTGCATATGTTGAGCCATGTCTATTTTTGATGTCCTAGTTTTCATTTGGATCTTTCATATCTATTGTTGACTTGGATCTTTTGGGGGAGGCCATTTGGATTAATCTGAAAAAATATATATATATATATTGGTCTCCAAAATCAATGAGATATGTTTAGGGCTTTTGAAAAACGGGGCTTCCGTGAAAACAATGGTATATTATATATATATATCCAACATAGTGAACATGGTATTAGTATTTCCATGTATATCATTGTATATCCAACATGTTGTGACCATGGTTTGTTTCGATCGACGATCTATGCTCCCATCCCTGCCCCTTTTGGCAGCTTCACCTCGCAGAAGAGTTCGAAGAGGAGCTCCATGTCACCCTGAAACTCATTCGCCAAGAGGCGATAGTACCTGCACCGGCCCGCGCTGCCGCCCCAGTTTCTTTTTTCGTCTGTGGAAAAATATATACCCTCTGGTAAACGTTTACATAGCTATGGAAAATCACCATTTTGAATAGGTAAACCAACTATAAATGTACCATGTTCAGAAGCTACTATGTTAAATTACCAGAGGGTACCACATGAACATCCATGAAGTATAATCATGAACATCCATGAAGTATCCCAACCATATATATATATATAACCATATTCCCAGTTTAGGATTCTTTGAAGATTCTATATTCTATCTACTCCAGGATGGCTTCTCCTCTCCCTGAATTGTTCAACCCAACTGCCCTGATCGCATCCGGGCTGCTCAGGCATAGTCTCCAGCAAGCCATTTTGACTGGCGACAGCAGTGGGACGAAATTGACTAAATTGTATGTTGGTTGGTATGACTTTTACGTTGATTTGACGTATTTCTTCGAAGATCTATCAAGGTCTTTTGCTGCCCACGTTCACTCTGATTGTCGAAGTGTTCTGCAAGTATGAAGTGGGCAAGTGGTGTCGCTGTTTCATTTCAATGTAGAGGTTTGAGGCATGATTAGTTGATTAGTTCATAGTAATTCATTATAATTCTATATATATACACCTTAGCATGAAGATGTGTATGTCAAAAGCGTTTAACTCAAAATGGAAGGACAACAACAGCCAAATGTATTCAAACATGCGAGCACAGTATGGCTGGGTCATCCGTCATCCCTTCCAATCTTTGGTTGAACCCTTCTCCAAAAAGCCACACCCAAGGATGAACGGAAACAGCTCTCAATGTAGGGTTCATCAGTGATATCTTCATAACCTCAAATCAGGCTGTTGGGTGTCGAGCAATGTCAAGGGCTGTTGGGGTGGGAGGCTGGAAGCAATGAGTTATCATTCTTCAAATGCAGAATGGCGTCATGCTTCTGAATGGCACCCTCTTCTGAATGGAGAAATTATTGCTTTTTCACTGAGCTGAGTTAAGAGATTTTCGGGATAGTTATATATTATACCATACCCCGATGCAGTTCCCATCATTCCAGTGACGTTTCATAAGAGCACCTCCCACTTGCATAAGCAATGAGTCAGATTCAACCATATTTTTTTTGCCTGGTACCCATCAGTGAACTACAAAATAGATAAAATCAGCTATAACTGGATTTTGTTTTGTTCAAACTATGGCAAATCATGGGAATGTTTGACCCCAGGACCCTAAGGACTCATGGTTCAATGCGAGGGAACAGACCTGTCAAGATGACTCATGACCCGATAAGTAAGGTGCCGATCATTGGGACGATATCATGCTCCATGCTTCGGCATTTACCATCAATTAAACAAACATAATATAGAAAAACATATAAACAAATTCATGAAAATTCAACTACGAGTACCACTATTTCAGTAGGATTTTTTTGTTTTTTCGATCTTCTTTTGGGGGTTGCTATAGGTACAACAATCTCACACATGGAGCATATGGGACGCGATTCTCGGATCTTTTGCTCCACATGCTCCACATGCGTCCCGAGGGGCTCCCATAGGAGCGTACTCAAACGGACACATCCAACGGGATCCAGCTCCATCTCAAAAGATGTACCCTCCTTTTGTGTCCTCAAACGTGGCCTCCCTTTTGGCTAACATGGACAATTACGCCAATTACGCACCAAAAAGGTGGGAAATTCCCAATGGAAAGTCACCAACTATGGAGGTTTAGAGCGACAAACACATCTTTCAAGCCGGGAAATCCATCGAACTATGGCTGGGATGGCTGGGGGATTTTCGAAGCATAGCCACGTTTGACTACCAGAGGGTATGATGTGGTAAACCCATGTAAACCCAATGCCAATGCCGAGCAAACCATGACTGAGGGGTCATGGTTTTTGGCATTCTCTCCAGTTGGGGTGTACTCAATAACCCCCCAATTGTCATTGTCCAACCAAAATCATTTCGTTCACCAATTCTGGATACATTGAATAATCCTGAAATAGAATGAAATAGAGCCATTTGGGGATGATTCCCGAATCCAATTCCCATTATTCCAGTGGCGTCACAACGGGTTCGGTCGTGATCAAAATCATGCAAATCAATCCAATGTATCAATTATATCACCATCAATTCATCATGTACAGTATATATATATATATTTATATGTATAATTATGTATGTATGTATATATATATATATATTATATCATTATCTATATATATATATATTATATCATTATCACCAAATATATCACCATATTTTGGTTTAACATTGTTAAGACAAATTGGTTTATCGGATTCACCACATTCTGCAAAACCATGCATTCTCTTGGAGAAACGCGGACGAAAATGCACCCTGCTAAGACTTCAGTTTTGAAGTTCTTGTTTTTGCCACCGGGTCGAAAACCGCACGTGTAGGCGTGCACATCTTTGTATTTTTGATGATGCATGTAGCGTTTTTGGATGATGTACACATGAGTTTCTTTGGGGGGGTTCGGGGGCGGGGTGGGGGTGGGGGGGGGGCTACTAACGTTTTTTCGCCTGCGTTCTTGACGCTACGTTGCTAACGTTCTTCATGTAACTTGCAACACGCTCTTGATGCTACGTTGCTAACGTTCTTCATGTAACTTGCAACATACATATGTTGTCCTCTATGTCTTAACGCGCGAGTTGCATTGTGCCAAAACTAAGGTAAAATATGGTAAAATAACATTGTTCAAAAAAAGGTATCGTTTTTGGGACCCCCAAAAAAATGAAAAGATGCTATTTTACCTGAGAAAACACACACGAAATTCAGAAGCACTGTAATCGCATGCATTTTGGAGTATCCAAGGCTTACAAAACACTGTAAATACCACGTTTCACAAAATTCACAAAATCATAAAATCGCAACGACTACACGTTCAGTTCCCGACCCGGCGGGTTGTTTTTGCAGGGGATCATGTCTCGGCAGTCTCAGTCCAATAAACCGATAAAACAAACACTGAAATTCAGCGGTCAACGAACAAGTTTTCGCATGTTTGCGCAAGAACAACTTGGCAGAAAAAGGACGGATTCTTCTGCAAATGATCCGGCTATCATCGGTTTTTCGATGGCCCATGAGCTGCCAAGTAGCTGATCAGTGTGTCCCAGCGCTGAATATGGAAACACAATGATTTAATATGATTTACATAGAAAACACATGAAAAAACATAGACAATTTAAATGCCGGTGTGATGCTATCACTTTCATGCATCCTTTGTTCAAATCAAGCCAAAGATTATGAGGTAAAATCAGCCTAGTTACCTATCTCAGACGTAACTGAAAGGTTCGGGAAAGTTGCATTTGTTTCACATGTCCAGCAGGGGACTATCAGGAACATGCAACTCAGCTCCCTTGTCTATCAGTTGAGCAGTAGTACTGATTTGATTCATCCATTCATACGCACTAAATCGGATCTGTACACTGCATACAACCATCACATCATGCTTCTTAGCATCAGCGCCCATCAACGAAGGCGTCAATGCCTCCTGGATTTTCTCCACCGGAATAGGGATTTTTTCGACATGTCCTTGTTCGATGCCCCCATTGTCTGATTTATAGATATACACACTGAGCTCATCATGCGGCTGATAGTCATTCATGTAGGCTCTGTCGTGATAGCCATACCTCTCCGATTTGCACATTTCGCTCATAGACGTTTTGTCCTGAGTCTCATTCTTCACAAGCTTTGCCAACATAAAATCTCCTGGCCAGTCACGGGTTTCCGATGGCATCTCAAAAATCACTCTGACTTTGATGCCGGCAGGCACATCTTCATGATCCTCTTTTGGCATTTTTTTGCAGCACAACATGAGGTTCTGCCAGAGCACGGCTGAGCGAACGCGAGCAAAAGCTTGCTTGGAGCCAAAAGCAGTCTGCGGTGATGTTAAGTGCGATTGGAAGGTTTCCTACGTCATGGGGGTACCCCCAGTCATCATCCATTTGAAAATTAGCTCTTTCAGTATAATCCAGCGAGCTTGGGGTATTCCAATTTGTGGTTAAACCTCCATATAAATCCATATAATTACACTGAATGTAGTGTATACACTGCATGTGTCATCATGTGTCGGGTGTCATATGTGTCAACTTGAGCATCATTGACGCTTAGCCGCTTGCAATCCTCGGAATCTGGGTGCCCCGACACCAAAAAGAGATGTCAAAGCCGAAGCAAAGAATGAGTAAACAGGAAGGCTAGGCCGCATCAGGAAACCATATAGCAACCCCCACAGAAATAGAAAAGGGACAGTCCATGACATTAGCGGCAGAATATTAGTGATCTATTTTTGGGGTTACGATAATCTTTGACAATGATCATCACCCAATCAAACATAATCACAATGAATTTTAGCATCAAACGATCCCTGGAACCCCTCCATTGCCAGTGTTTTGGGGGTTCCTAGCTAGGCCAGCTAGGCATTGGGAGATTAGCCCTGTAACTGTAACATCAGGTATAGTCTATAACTGCCGCAAAATGCTTAGTTAACCTGCTTAGCTATTTTAGGAACATCCAAAAAAGAACATTCAAACAAAAACTATGGCGTGCAGAATACCAATTTACATCATTACCACGCAATGTTGTCATGGGTAGAACGACATGTGATCAGTGGTACCCGAAGTGGGCACTTGCAATTGAAACCAAAACCACCAAAAAGTCCGCAGCCTTCCGCAGCCCCTCTCGAAATTTCCGATGACAGCTTTCATTGTTTGTCTTTCAGATTTTAGGCTTCTTTGACAGTCAAGGAGATTGAACATCAACCTCACGTCAGCTTCATGAAGGTCCCTATCCAGTTGAGGTCAACCGTGATTCCATAGTTTGTTGCACTGAATGTCAGATCCTCATCCACTTCTTCCTCAATTCCCCTTGCGCGCCGCGACTTGCTATAGGGCCGCTACCCATGACCCAAGGGTCTGAAAATGTGGACCCAATTAAATACTCCTCAAAAAAATGGGAAAATTAACATTTTAGAGTCCACATTTAAATGTCCATAAGGTACCTCAGAATCCTCAGAATCCAGAATAATCCTTTTAAATCATCATAAATCATTGGATTCTGAGGTACCTTATGGCCTTATGGTACCTTATCAGACAAATCCACATCATTCATGCAGTCCCAATGTCCTCTACCCGGCAATGCCTCTCTTTGTCTTGTAGCACAGACAACATTCGCTCCTCCTGTCCAAATCGATGTCTGCCGCAACATGTTTTGTACATGATCATGGCAAGTGAAAATCCCCCCTCAGTCAATGAAGATGTTTTCATGGGAAAATCCCCACTCTAAAAGCAGTGATATTTTCCAGCGATTTTCCATGTTTGATTACCAGAGGATGCGTGATCTTGAACCATCCATCCACTGCCATTCTCAGCTTAAGTTATTTTATAATCCGGGAAAAATCAATAATGAAGAACTCAATCTGCAGATATTACAAGCCAGAAAGTTTTTCGTCTGGTTTAGCCATCAACCTTCCCATCTCTCTTGTTTTGCAATTCATGGGGCACCCAGGTTTCGCTCGTTGCGACTCTTCTACAAGGTGAGCCCTTCAAAAACTTTGATATATCGACCATTTGATATCCATAAACCATACTGGTTTCACCAATTAATCAACTGAGCCGTAGAAAAGGGCCTATAAATGTTACCTTGTATAATATATACCATATGTTACCTTGTATAATTCGTAAAAATTCTCAAGGTATAAACAGTATAAACCTTGTGGGCTGATCCAGTTCAGTTACTGCCGACCCTTTTTTGTCCCACCTTGATATGTCTCCAAGGCAAAAATATTGCAGCGACACGAAAAGTACTGGTACTTTCAATTACCCTCTGGTTATGACTAACAGTTTGCCATGGTATAGATGGCCCATTTATGCCCATAGAAATAGATGGTTTACCTGGGTTTACCTATTAAAAATGGTGATTTTCCATGGCTATGTTAAATAACCAGATGGTACTTCTTACCATGTCTCAAAATCCCAGCAATGATCACTTGTTACCGCTTGAATTGGGTTTGTGCAACATGGGTTACCTCCGCTGATTTTTGATCAGGTTCCACATTGAAATCTCCAAAAATTGGATTTACTGTAAATACATGTAAAACATCCCAACCCAAATATATCTGGTTATACATACATATATATATATATCCCATTAATATCCTACTAATATCCTATTAGTATCCCATCAAAAAAACACACACATTAATATATGTATGTGTATACAAACGGGGGGTTCCGAAAAATGGAGATGGTTTACAATCCCATAGGATCCATGTATGGTATATATGCTAACATTGGGGGTATATTGATGGCAAATGTTACCATATATAGCATACATGGATCCTAGGTCCTATGGGAATGGACAATCCTTCTAAAAATAGATGATTTTAGATGATTTTTGGGGCCTATTTCAGGAAACCTCCATACAAAAATACATATTTAAACGCAAGAATCATACCATGTATAGAAATCATCGAAAATATCACTGGTTGGTGGTTTCAACCCTTCTGAAAAATATGAGTTCGTCAGTTGGGATGATGAAATTCCCAACTGAATGGAAAGTCATAAAATTCCGTGGTTCCAAAGCACCTTAACCAGATATGGTGCCTCATTATCAGACAAATCCACATCATTCATGCAGTCCCAATATCATCAGACAAACCATAGAACATATCTGGTGGTTTCAACCCCTCTGAAAAATATTAGTCAGTTGGGATTATTATGCCCAATACCCTCTGGTAATTTAACATAGCTATTGAACATGGCCATTTATAGTGGATTTTCCCATAAAAAAATAGTGATTTTCCATAGCTATGTTAAATTACCAGAGGGTACATGGAAAAATATTGGAAAAATAAAACATATTCCAAACCACCAACCAGATATAATCCATACATCACATAGAAAAAAAAACATACCATGACATCCCTTGTGAAATCGTCCCATGGTCCGCTGGTCTCCTTCAACTCCCGGAGCTGGCTATAGATCCTCCGATATCCCATGACCTGATGACGGACGGCACGGATGGAAAACATGGCATGCTATGCCGTATGAATGGATGGCTCAGGTGCGAAAATCCCCCATAACATTCCAGGATTCAAGATTTGTGACCAATGTTTTCAGAAGTCATCTGGTTGGTGGTTGACAGTGGTTGACCTACCCTCTGAAAAATGATGGACTGAAAGTCAGTTGGGATGATGAAATTCCAAACTGAATGGAAAGTCATAAAATTCCTGTTCCAAACCACCAACCAGTCATTTTATATACGATTCATGATGGTTTATGAGATGTTTGATATGATTCTACATCTGGCTGCCTGGCTATATCAAAAAAGTCGCTGGATACTGGTACAAGTTGCCCCCCCAGTTGTGTTTGTTGGTTTATAAACCCTAAGTATACTGGTTATGTTCACCAACTTAGCTATCCTTTGGGACCCCTACCTTGTAGGCCGGCATTTCAATGGGAAAATCATCAACAAATCACAGTCGAATAGCTTTCCACTGCCAGGACGACAAGAGGCAGAAATCAAAACGTCGAAGATCCAAAAAGAACACGCAAATACAATGCTCCGTGTTTTTTTTGCATACCATCTGGTTATTTAACATAGCTATGGAAAATCCATTATAAATGGAAGTTTTAATGGGAAAATCATCTACAAATGGGCAATTTGCCATAGCTATGTTAATAAATAACCAGAGGGTATTTCTGAAAGCCATGGATCTTCGATCCATTTCTCTGATCGACAGGATGAACTGGAGATTTCAGAAAGCGCACTGGGCGGCGGTGGCATTTTCAGGATCTGAATAGCCTCTGGTAAACATACAAAAAACTATGGAAAATCACCATGCTATCAATGGGTAAATCCACTATTTCTATGGTCATTTTCAATAGCTAACTGTTAAATTACCAGAGGGTACGCTTCTTTTTGCTCTAAGTTTCGGCCATGAATCCACATCATCACTTCAGGTTTTCAACCTATGGCATTGGCATTTTCTGAACGACAATGGGAAAGATGTGGCCTCCTCGAGCCAAATCGCAATAAAAAATGCAATATCCAAGCTCAGAAGAAATCAAAACAACCTAAAGTGACAAACAAAGTGTGGGTTTTCAGTTGGTTCAACTGCGGCACCTCAACACAAACATTCGGAAGAAGAAACATGTTATGTAGCTTCCACAGCTGGTTATAATCCCATCCATTAATGATCATAATATTAACATCATAATATAATAACTGTGTCACCAATGGTGAATAGTTGACCAACAGTTAAAACAGATCAGAATTGATTAACATCATTAATCACCAATGGTCATTATATACCCTCGGGTAAACAAACATAGCTATTGAAAATGGCCATTTATAGTTGATTTACCCATTAAAAATTGTGATTTTTCCATGGTTATGTTAGTTTACCAGAGGGTATGTGTTGGCACATACTCCAACATCGTTTTGGACCTGCCAAAAAGAGCCTCCAAAAATAGACATGGGCGTCCAGTTGACAACCTGAGGCAACGACGTTCTTGCGAAGGGACAAGTAGTCCAAGCCCTGCAGGTCAACGAACGCGTGTTGTGAACCACTGAACAGAGCCTCTAGAGTAACATAAAAATGGAAGTCATGCCTCATTGGCCTCATTCATAGATTCTATATATATAGTGTTATATTATATATACAATATGTATGTATATATATATGTATAATATATAACTTTATGTATATTATAATATGTATATATATATATGGGGGAAAGGCACAAGTGATTTCCGTTGATCATCCGTTGATCCTCAGGTCAAGCCCTGACCGAATCATGGATGATCAGGAAATTTCTTGATATTCCCATCTGGTTATGACTCACATAGCCATGGAAAGATCCACCATTTTTAATAGGTAAACCATCTATTTCTATGGGCCATTTTCCATGGCTATGTTAAATTACCAGATGGTAGTATAAGCTTTATTTCCTCATCAAGATTAACATAGATTAACATTGCTTCTATGAATATTCTGCGGTAACTGTGACGAGCCCAAAATTTTGTGTTCCGCTGTCAATCGATCGATCTCAAAATTGGCCTCATCGAATCCCATGGTTTCAATCAATGGGAATTCCAGGATCCTAAAATGGAGGTACTGTACCATATAAGGCCATATTTTGGGGGGATATTCCCTTACATAGGCCTGAAAAATAGGCCTTATATATGGAATCGGTACCTCCAATCAATCGGTTCCTGGAATGGCCATCAGTCAGGTATCCAGTATCCCTACGTATCCCCCAACTTTGAGACAAAGCTCGAAAGAAACTGTCCTGTCCGGTCCATGGCTGTGCCGAATTTTTTTTCCTCCGCCAGGTCCCAAAAGTCAGCCTTGATATGTGTTGCAAAGTTGGTGATCTCCCATATGTACAGGATGGGGCCCCAGTTCGTTAGCCAAGTTGGTTTATAACTATAACAACAATAGTGTATGATACTTACAACTATATTTGGATGGGGTTATAAACCAACTTATAACTAGGGGGCCCCATCCTGTATCCATATGTTCATTCTTATTGTCCTTGCTATTGGGTTTGTCATGGTTTGTCTGAACATAGGCTACCCACTTCATGGTTAATCATCATAAAATTGTAATTGTCCCTATCTAAATATATCAAACTGGCGATTTGGGGGGCTTCCCCCATGACAACAGACATCACACGGCCTGCAGCCGGGCATCGCACCCCACCATGCCACTGCCCAGCACGCCCGTCAGCAAAGTCGTGGCGCTGAAGGTGTAGCTGGACTCGCAAAATGCGAAACGCGGGGCGAAGGAAGCTGCCCGTTTCTTGATATGTGGTTTGTAATATGTAATATTATATCAAATAATACTGGTAATATTATGTATGTACTATGTTTGTAATATGTACTGCAATGTTATGAAATATTGGTAGTATTGGTAATACGGTGTGATATGATAATATCTGTCATATTGGGAATGGTGTAATATTGGTAATATTGCAATACAACCGCCCCAACCACAAACAACTGGTAATGAGTGTCACTTGCAGTGTATATAATATGCTGTGGGGGTTTGGAATACATATTATCCGTAAAAAAACAGTTGCAATAATACGCTGAGGGAACTGTACTCAATACTTCGTACCTTGCCACATTATAGTCATTAGTATAGTAATTTATGTAATAAACAGTCGCTTGCCTCATTGTGGTACAGTGCCATTTGTATTCACTACATGTATATTATAGTTTAATAATATATATATAATATATACATTATACCTGTGGTAATTCATAACCAGTTGTAGTATATAGTGGGAATTCAAAGTATAACGGCACCTGATTTTAATGGTTATGTGAATTATGTAGCAGTTTGAATTAGGCACTGACCATGCTTGGAAGAGCTCACACAAGCCTCTGTACTCCTTTTGTTCATATCAAAATAGGCAAAATTGATATATTCATGCCCCCAAAATACAGAAATCAAACCAAAATCTGCCCTGGAAAGAAATTGTAACCAATGAATATCCATGTATTCTACCTTGTTAGAGGCTTTAACCCATCCTGATATTCCAATCGACATCTTCAGGTGGTGAAACACAAACACTTTCCGAGCTTTGGGGTTTTTGAGGCCTCGACTCGACCCTTCGACCCCAAATCCATCATCCCCAAAACAAGCCACGCAGCAAACAAAATTAACAAAATGATGGAAGTTTGTTACCATTCTCACAAGTTCTCGAAATTTGCGTCTATCTCAAAGATTCTATCCAGTGCCAAAGAAATGCTGGTGGAACTCACCCAAGCCATAAGAAATCCATCACCAAACAGGGGTTGGTAAATGTCCCAATTGAACATCACCCAAGTATTGGGGATATAATTTCCAACAGATATTTGAAGGTGATGTTCAAAATCCCCAAAAAGGGACATTTACCAACCCCTGCCAAAGCTCCCGGAACCTGATGGGTGTGCTTGTTGTACCACCGTAGTAAGGAGACTAAGGAGATGTTGCCATCCTGAGCCAAGTCCATGGTATGTTTTGCTGGGAAGATCGTTCGTAAATGGATCAGTTTCCAGCTATGTTTGATTACCAAGGGGTAATATATATATATATTATATAACATTATATATATATATTATAATATTATATATATATTATATTATATAATATAATATATATATATATATTATATTATATAATATTATATATATATATTATATATTATATTATATATATAGATATTATATATAATATAATATATATATATAATATATTATATATATCCCGAAACCAATCAGGCCCATTTCCTCACAATGCGACGGACTTGAAGGTGCAGTGAACCACCACTGATTTCTATGAGAAAAAATGGCCATAAAATGGAGCACTGGTTGGAAGCATAGTCCACATCAGAATCACTTCTCCTGAATCCCACGTAGCTGCTTGGTGATTTTGTTCAATCAATTGTGTAAATCTTTGGGCTATGAACCTACTTCATTTGAAACCACTTGGAGAAAAACTCTCTGACTAGTCCAATAATTGTTGCCCCTTGGGTAAAAACGCATGAATTGATTTGACACACCAATTACTGTACATGTAGTATATTTACCAGTCATAGACCTGTTGGTTGTGTGAGAATTGAGAGTGCTCTATGTTTCATCGACCAACAAATTGGGAAAAACCCTGCGGTGGATCCGATGATATTTCGCTGATACTTGGGGCTCGGTGTTTTGCAAATCACTCATGCACCCAGTATCCATCAAGATTACGATGATTCCTACAGTTTCATGACTGTTTCATACATGATAATACCCTCGTTTCAGTGTTATTAAATATATAAATGAACAGAACATCACAGAAATATATCATGGTCATATTTTTTCATATAAGAAATGTTCATAAATGTAGTCTGACCCCCAGATTACAGACTTATAAAAATCACTTCTGTAGTCATGGCAGTGGCTTGGAGCCCATTGGCATCAGTGGCTCGACCCAACATTGGAGACTTTAGAGAACTAGCTATTGAAAATGGCCATAGAAATAGTGGATTTTCCCATGAAAAATGGGTGGATTTTCCATAGCTATGTTAAATTACCAGAGGGTATGTCCGCAAAAATGACCAGAATTTTGGATCGATTCATGCATATTTCTCTGGTTGACTGGTTGACTGGTTGACCTACCCCTCTGAAAAATGATGTAGTGAAAGTCAGTTGGGATGATGAAATTCCCAACTGAATGGAAAGTCATAAACTTCATGTTCCAAACCACCAACCAGTTCAGTATTTCATCATATGATGTTGTTTTCAATTGGTGTACCGCTACATTATCTCCTGGTTTATCATCAGTTTCCCTGTCAAACTGGACGTGAATTGGGGTCAAAACCACCTTTTTTTCGGACATACGCTTTTGTCAGAGTGTTGGTTATTGGCCTATCAAGCAGCAGTATGTTCCCATTGTGGTTGGTTTTATACCATACTTATTGGATAAATCACCACTCATATTATATACAAGGTGGCATCCCACTTTGGAATCGCTACCTTGCTTTATAACTAACATTTAACTGAACTATTGTTCATGGTAGATATACAGAGCTAGCTAAGCAACGTAAGCGCAATATGGGGCCCACGAACGGTAGCCAAGTTGGTGAACACAACTCCAATAACAATGGCTTATGGCATTTATGACTAAAATATATGAAAATGGGGTGAATCTAAAAATGAATCTAAACCAACATAGCCATCACGTTTCGGGGTCCCACATTGTAGAATTATATCTATAAGTCTATAAGTCCACTGATGGGCAACACATGGCACCACCCGACATCGCTAGCTGCAGCTGGATCAGTTGGTCCTTCCGCGTGGGTGAGCTCTCTGCTAAGCTCCCAGGTGCTACTTCCTCAATGGCCTGGAAAATGGGATGTTCATGGCCACCAAAAAATGGTATGGTTGATTCAGTGGCATTGTTGGTGAGATTAGCCCAGCAAAGATGAGTTTTCGATGTTTTAAGGTCAGGTTTAGATGATTTTAGATGTTGGTCATATTTGGTGATGGGTGAAAATTAAAGACCTGGGGGACCACAAATTTCAGTCTATAGATGTCTATAGTTAGTAATAACCATCTAGTATTTAGGGGTAGCTAATTTTGACTCATACCCATTTCGATACTGTGGATTCGTTGCCAGGCCGTCGACAGATTGGAAAATAGGGATTGACCCAGCAAACACCATAGGAAAACCATAGGAACTATATAGGAATGGTGGGTCCTATGGTGGTTTAACCAACAAAAACGAGGATTTAATGGGAATTAGAGCTGATTTGTGATAGCTAAGCTCCTGAGTTTTCATAATTCTGTTTTGTCACCATGGTTTTGGTACTGAAAAAAACGAGAAGACATTCATGGGGTGAATCTGAACCAACATAGCCATCTATCAACCACTATTAACCACAATTAACAACGATTAACTATAATTAATCTACATTTTTTGGTAATGGCACTTGTAATGCTTATATAGATACCTTAAGTTAAGCAAACTAGCACCTTTTAGGGTCATTTTTGAGTTGCCAATGTGGACCCCTGCTTGGTATATCTTGGTGCATTCCAACAATTCGATGAACATGATGAAGCAACAACAAAGGTAAACAACTTTGGTAAAAAAAACATGTTCTCACTAGCTATAAATACGACTTACACATAGTATCACATAGTAATATATCTTGGATTTGGCTCATGAATCAAATAACTTCAAATCTTGAAAAGCTGACCACACAACTTGGAGTTTCTACAGGAAATCACGAGAATTCTTATCCGGAACTGCGTTTGACCCCCATTGCATCCCATGACATGACATCATACCCACATTTTTATATCCCAAGTATCTACCCATTATGGTAATCCCCAACAAAAATAAAGTGCCGTACAGCGTTTCCAGGATGCTGGTTGGATCAGTTAGATGATATTTCTCCACATGTTGCAGCTACTGTTCGGCATCTTTTTTGGGACCTATATATTACCTGTATCATTCAACAGCATGAAATTATAATATCCTATCATATCTTAATTAAATCCTAACATGTCATATCCTTTTAACAAAAACTTCATCATATCTTGCTGATATCCCCCAGATTTTTCAATGGTGCATCCCGATCACCCAAACCATGGTTGTTTCCATATCAAAAATGAGGGTAACCCCCAATCATGCGGTTTATGGTCGGATTTTCCGTGAAACATCCGGCGAGCTTGGGGTACCCCTATTTTAGGACACCTCCATCTATCATTCAACAAATAGAAAGATAGATTAGATTGGATTAGATGAGATGAGATGAGATGGATAGATAGAATGTGATGAATATGATGAATATGATACATATGATAAATATAATGAACATGATAAATATGGGAGTTTCAAACATCTACCCTCTGGTAAACTAACATAACTATGGACAATCACAATTTTTAATGGGTAAATCCACTATAAATGGCCATTTTCCATAGTTATGTTAGTTTACCAGAGGGTATTTCTTGACATCCACACATAATCACACATATCATCTTCATCCCCAGGTGTCATCCCCAGGTGACCCAGTGACCCAGCGTGGCGCCTTCAAGAGCTGTTTGGCCTCATCGCCACGCACACGGCCGTCCAAGTTGGCATCGTACTGGACGAAGATGGCGAAGAGCGCCTGGGAAGCCATGGCTGATAAACGATAGGCTAATATATATATATATATATATATATATATGTATACGTATATATGTGTAAACGTATATATGTGTCAATGTATATATGTGCAAATGTATGGGTATAGTCTGATTAAGAGCTCTTTGCAGTGTTTGAGAACTTGTCTTCGAATTCCTAGAAGTTGTCCACGTTTGCAAGAAGTTGTGCACGTTTCACACGCCCCCCTAATAACTTTCGTGTTCAACTGCTCTGGAATGGACGGCTCTCATTGGGGGCTCTTAGCCAGACTATCCCGAAATCTCAAAATCCCGAAATGTATATATGTATATATGTACATATGTATATATATATATGTATATATGTATATGTATATGTATGTATATATATATGTATATATATGTATATATGTATATGCGTGGTATGAATTTCATATAGATGTTTATAGATGTTCAGTGATCCTGGAGTAGATAGAATGTGGAATATATGGACTTCTAGAATCTATACGTAACTAAATTTGGACCATGTTTGAAAAATACATAATCTATATTTACCCATGGTAGCCTATTACCTTATTTCTGGGAGTGAATGGATGTTTGTGGATGGTTCATAGCTGGTATAGCTGGATGTTTATTCCCTGAAACATGCCAACTTAATGTACATTAGTACTAGGTTGTGGCAAGAATCCCCAAATAGTCGTACCAAAAAAAAACAACACAAAACACGTCACAGTGATTAGATAGAATTAGCGCATGTTTATTGTAAATAACATGTATTTCTTCGGGCATTCAACAGGTGTATCTTTTTGCAGTCCATGGCCCAGTTTGGGATCGCTAAGTTGCTTGAAATAAGCAACATTTCACGGTTGTGATTCTGGTGTATATGTATATTAGTAAATATATAGATACATATATTACCGAACTATATTTAGGTATATATATATATATGCAATTATATATATATGCAATTATATATGTATATAATTATATACGTATATAATTATATATGTATATAATTATATATGTATATAATTATATATGTATAATTATATATGTATATAATTATAAATGTATATAATTATATGTATATAATTATATATGTATATAATTATAAATGTATATAATTATATACGTATGTAATTATATGTGTGTATAATTATATATGTATATAACTATATGTATATAATCATATATGTATATATGGTTAGTGTACACTATATAATAACACTAATTAATACATATATGTATATAATTATTAGCAATACTCTATGGTGATATTATATTAACTTGTATACATATGCAACATGTAACTTGTTGATGGAGGTTATAAACCAACACATCCTCAGTGGCTGGCACAACCGTAGCCATGGGTACCAACCAATGGACATTTCAAGCGAAACATCAAAATGGGGGAAGAACTTACTGTAAAGCGATGGACTTTCTGCAAAATCCATGGCAGCTAATCTTAGGATTTTCTGCAAAGTCAAAAAAATCACTTTCAAAAGCCATATCTTCATTTTCTACAAGACTTAAGGTTAACAAGACACAATCAGTTAAACAGTACATAACAACATCACCAGCGATCACCAGCCACTACACATCAGCCATTCACCCACATGACTAAACAGTGGATTAAACCTCTTCAGCAGCCATTCACAAAATCTCACCATCCATGCGCCATTCAGCCTCCTCTGATCGATCCAGTTCAGCAGCCAATAAGCGATGTATCTGGGAGGCAGAGGCAACAACTTCTGCTGGGGCAGGCCCAACTAATTGAACCATGCATATAGTGTGTAATTATATATATATATATGTTGTGATATATATATATATATGTATTATATATATATATGTATTGTATATACAAGTTGTGAGTTTATATATATATATGCCATATTATCTGCCATATATGGGTATGTAAATAGATATGCATACAATGTTAAGTGTATACATAGTATAGTACTTCTGCGGTTCCGTACGTATGGGACTTGAATATGGGATATAAACAGGCTATCAATGGGAGATGTTTATATATATATATATATTGTACCGGATAGTCGGGGTATAAGACCAATCAATTATATAATGGGGATAGAATGATATGTATCAGCTATCTATATTGACTGATTCTAACAGTCACTCTGATATCATTTGGCAATCTGCGCAACAAGAACCTAAAAAAAACAAGACACTGGCCAGCCGGGGTAATGAACTGACTAGGGGATACGATAGAGACTGACATGATTATCACATCTTACTCATCTTACTATCAACATGGGGTTAAAACAATGGGAGTGAGATGGCATAGTCATTCATGAAGCTAAAGATCAAGGCCTCATCTTTCAACTGAAATTAATTTTCTAACTTCCAAAACCGCTGCCACAGCCTTTGAGGTTTATGAGGTTTAGCACAAGGGATAGAAGGATAGGGAGATAAACATCCTCTGCAGCATGCCCAATAAGAAACCAATGGATCATACTTCATTTTGCTGTTGGGGGGTTCAAAGTTCGAAGGCCTAAAAAGGAAACGAACACTGTACTCTGATCAATCGTTTCGTCACAAGAAAATGGTCAAGTCCCCAAAGTTTGTTTTGTTTTTTACATGTTTTTAAAACACATTCCATCTCCACCCCAGGCAAAGAATTTCGAAAGTGTTGGTGAAGTCCCGCTTCTGGCAGTTCAATCCCCATTTTTTCATGGTGAAATCTCAGAATTTTAACATGGTCAATCTTTCATAGTCCACAACTCCACAACAAATTCATCCTTCGCTGGTTGGTTGGTTATTTTCCATGTTTAGCGAAATACTAAAGGATTAGTTTCTACCCATCCAGTTTGCTAAATGATATTTCAATGATAAGATGTTACGACAGGATCGAGGCCCCCAGTTATAATGTTGGTTTATAAGCCATTATAACCCCCATTAACTCGTTGTATCTACCATAAACCATGGAATTCAGCCACTTTTTTCAGGCAACTGAACGCTATCAGTATCTTGGGGGCCCCATGTTACTAGCTACCCCAAGGACGACCATGCAGACTCGCTGGCTGGGTGCTGGACCCTCATGGCCAAACGACGAAGGTAGTGCTTTTCCCAGTCCCGATACGCCTCGAAGATTTTTTTTCGGGGGCACAGCCAGGTGAGGTGATTTCAGATAGACACTCGATTTTTCGGGGGATAGAAATGGAATAAAATGGACATGTTCACTTCAAAAATTGGCATGTGTTTACATATTGTTGCTTTTTTTGAGTATGATGAATGGAGATTTGCACGGGTACTTTGAGTGTGATGCTTGGGGATCAGTGAAAAAACTCGCTGAACTGAACCAAGAGTGGTAGCTCTGGAGTCCTTGCGCAAGACCTACCCGGCCTGGTAAATGTTTACATAACTATGGAAAATCATCATTTTTAATGGGTACGAGTAAATCAACTATAAATGGCTATGTTCAATAGCTATGTCAGCCATTACCAGAGGGTATCAAATCACAAGCTCTCAATCCTTCATTGAGCAATGACCTGCTGAATCTCTTCCAGGGTCCTGTGGAGGAGACGCTACCAGCATAGGGCAGAGGGTTTATATGTAACACCCAGAGCACCGAGGGGTGTTTCCAAAGAATGAACCACATTAACCATCCCAATTCGGTAGTTTTCGACCATCCTCTAAGTCTACAGCCAACACTATGCTGCAGTATCTCTGCACAAACCCTGTCCGTTTCTTTTTTAAGCATCCCAAAGGTCTTAGTGACTAAGAGTCACAAAGCCCCTTCCAAGAAATGAAGGTTTGCATAAAGCAGCTGGGTCTGAAAAATGGCGACATCACAAAGTGTGTCAATGGGGAACATAGAATGAAGCTTGTAGTGTTCTATAAGATTCTAAAAGCATAAAGAACCATCATATGTTTGGGTAGCCTGTTCTCAGACAAAGCCGAGTTAGAAACCAGCGAGGGCACTGAGGCATTCACTTCGGAAAGATAGACTGCCTCGTCGTCTTCAGGATCCTGTAGGGGAGGATTGACCTTGAATTTATGGCATATAATGGTATAAGGAACATGTTTGGAAACTATGGGGCAAATAAGGGAAGGATGGAGGAGGATTATATTTTTGATTGATTGATTTTATACTGTAAAAAAAATCGATTGATGATTATTGATGGTGACGATTCTTGATGATGATGATGATGATGACGATATGACGATATTACGAGATGTTGATCTCACGATCTGACGATCAGACGATTGGCCACTCAGAGTCAAAGTTCGCTCGACAATCATGGGAGGATTGACGGAAATTTCACCAGTTCCAGTTCAAGTCACTTACCAACTATCCTATGATATATAACTATACAACTATACATACACATGTACATATGTGCAAGAAAAATACAAAGAAACACATACATATTCAAAATATCATCATTTCTGTGGGAATTCTCCAGCATTTGTAGCTGCTTAATGCTGGTCCCCTCTGCTGGTTGGCTCCTCTTCTGCATGTTCCTCCTCCAGGTAGTCGTTCCCATCCTCAGTCTCAGTTCCAGGATTTGCATCGGTAGCCAGAATTCTTGAGGAGAAAAAAGATACCATCTGCTAATATTATATAGTTCTATAGCTAATTTTAAGATATATATTCTATTTTACTATAATATTATATATTATAATACTATGAAAAATATGCTTATGTTACATAGCTATGGAACATCACCATTGTTCATACAGATACATATTCAAAAAAGAACTATATAATATTATATAATTATCTATATAATATTATATAATCAAACATGGCAAGCTGGGAAATCTCCGAACTAAATGGAGGTTTCGTTCACTGGGGAAATTTATCAAGGAACTATGTAAATGGTGGACTGTCCTTTGCTATGTTTGATTACCTTAAATGGTATAATATATATATATATTTATTTATTGATTTATACATATATATGCACTTAATCACGTGTAACAACCCTGGAATAGTAGGAAGCGTGGGAAATGAGGAAATATGAGGTTTATATATAATCTATGCCATCCTGGAAGCACTTTTTTCTATCTTTTGGGGATTGCTTTCGGTCAAATCCCCAAATCTTCAATAAGATGTGTCTACAGCCATAGAATACTTGTGGCGATGCCCCACCAGTGATGTTGGTTGGTTTAGATTCACACCATTCATCCATTAACTATACTTACATCCACCATAAATCCTCGTTGTTCTGGTAACTACCAATGGCTTCAAGCAATTTAGCACCAGTTGTCTGAGATAGAGACCCAGTTTTCGCTTGTCTCCTCACCTGCGTCACCATGACTGATAAGCAACACATAGCAACACCCCAAGGCATCTATGGTGTAGTTGCCAACTCAATACCTACATATGATATCATAGGATAGTGTTGTTTGGTGTAGATGTAGGTGTGTGTATATATAATTTACAATACGATACATAACTATGATCTGGGTTGGATTGAAAGCATGTTTGTCGTGTATAGAGGAAATTGGTTGCAGAACATGACTGGATCAATGACTCTGCAATGGAATTACTGAATCCCATAGGTTGGAGATCGTACCATGGAAACACAGCTACCTAGACCTGTGAAGTACTCATAGCATCTCATAACAATGGTGTTTTACCCCAGAAGTTTCGTACTTTTACCGTTTTACCGTTAACATGTTTATCATTTTATCCCAATGTTTTGGGTGTATTTGGAGGGATCTAAGTAGGTGGAATTCTCATGTGGATTTGATAGATCCCATGTTGATCCCAGGCCTTCATTCAGCGAGTCCTGATCACGCACCTGCCGAAGAGAGCCAAGGCTCTGAAAATACGTGGTGGCCTTGACATCATTAACTTACCCATATTTGAGGTATTTTAGAATATAATCATAATATTGGTTTATTATATTATGTATAATATCATAATAACAGGCAATAAATGTATCATTTCGAGGTATATCATAATCACAGGTATTTAAGATGTTGGGCTTCAAAATCACTAACATATTTATTATGATATACTAACAGGCTATCCTAACAGGCTATAAATTGGGGTATACCCCATTTCCGTTTAAAATATTCATTTTCTCCATTTTCCATGTTTTCCATGATTTCCGGTCTGGTCGTGACCATTTCTGAAATTTTCAGGGCCACGGGTGACACGTAGACAGCGAGGTTCATGCTCCCGACAGCAATGTTTTAGTGATAATTCAACCATTTTAAACCAATATTTGATGGAAGATCTATACAAGTAGGTGATAATGGAATACAGTAATGCATTTATACATATATTTCTACATCAATATATGTAAAAAAACAATATTTGATGGTAAACCCTATTATAAATCATGGGTGATAATAAGTTTCACCAGGTTAACCATCAAAGAGTTTCTTTGATGGTAACCTGGTAAACCCAACCAATTTCTAACCGATTGTATACATCCCATTTCCACAGCATCATAAACCTGTTTGAGGCTTGACATTCAACAAAACTCCAGCATGATCCAGAGAGACCCAGTGATCCAAGCGTCTGCAATAGAATCTTGGGAATGTCCAGACCTCGGAAATTAGGAAAACTGACATTTCACTTGAAAAGTCAAAATGATGATGTCACCCATTTACAGAGAATTTGTCTATTAAAACTTCCTTTCTTTTCAATCCTGGATTTCCCAGCCATGTTTGAAACGAGTTGTGTACGGCTCTCCCGCTATCTCCCACCATCTTAGGTCCATTTGTAAAGTGATTGGTATCCAGTAAATGCTAAATATCTAAATGGACCAATCACTTACTGGATATAATGTACCAATCATTTAGATATTTGTACTGTTCATAATATTTATGTGATCTGTTCATAATATTTAATGTTACCCTCTGGTAAATTAACATAGACCCTGAACATGTTAACCATTTTTAGTGCATATTTAGTGGAAACAAATCCTCCAATCCCATTTTTAGTTCAGGGTCTATGTTAATTTACTGGAGGGTAAATATCTAAATGACATTTTTTCCTTGATCTGTTCACAATATTTATGTACTTCCAAATTCTTGGGCACTGCAACCATTAATATGGCTCCACCGCCAGCACGAATAGACTGATGTCATCCAAGCTTACGTAGATATGGGTATGGGTGGAAACCCTCTAGCCTTTTGTTCACACCAAAATAGTTGGTAAAGTATTGGATATTTTCCCCGCCAAGAATTATATAATATTATATATTTATCCATCTACTTGACAAACCAGCCATTTTGCTTTAATCTTACATTACGTAGCCATATGATCCAATTCACCAATTTACCAGCCATAAACGGTACGTGTACGGTACGTGGGGATCCATAGATCAACACTTGTTGGAGCCTCGTTGCTGGGCGCCGAGAACAAGGCATCCTGGCTTCGAGTGGTTGTTTTGAAGATAAAGGGTGATGCCCCAGTTCCGAATCGCTAAGTTGGTTTATAAGTCCAATTTCATCCAATTTCACTATATGTTTTATAGGTGATATATTGAACTAATTATATAATGGAATTTTAACCCGTTTATAAGTGGAGGGGGCACCACCTTGTAAATAATCAACTGTAACTGTTTATATCATATAAATCACTGACATTCACTGACTATAGATATCTATCCATCATTAACTGTATATTTTCTCAAGTGTGTCTGACTGCATCTGGGTAACTCACTGGAGTGTTGTTTCAGTTCATGATGGGCTGTGGATAAGGCTCACCAGGAAAAACCCTCGATGCAAAGTGAAAACCATCTTGGAGTAACAACCAAATTGGGATGTTCATCCCATTTACCTTCATATCTTCATGCAGGGGCTGTTTGCACCACTGGCAGCGTTGGCCTTCTGCAAACCAGGCAGAACATGTGCATTGACAGTGCCACCAGTGATAATCCCGGTTTGGGTATAGCGGGTATATGTCTGGTCATGAAAACTTACTAAGAATAAGACAAAAGGGAAAGCAACACTTTGTGATCACCAACCAGTTGGGGGTTCCCACTTGGGGCTTCATTTCCACTCAACATGGTTTCAAGGATCAAGCGTCATTCTTAGATAATATGCAGTGAATCCTTGAAACCCTGAAATACACCCTTTTGTTTAGGATGTTTACCCCTATCAACCACCATATTTGGATCATCTACAATAAATCCCAAAACTAGTCTCCGATGGTTTCTCCTTAAAAAACACCCCTATGTAATCATTCCCATCACCGGAGTATGATTCTGGAACAATCCCCAGTACATCAGTTGGTCAGTTGCCCCTTAAACCAACTAGCTGCTTTCAGCCCCAAAATATAAGTGCGTTAGGATCATCCTCGGATATATGTTGCTTGAAAATTGAACATGTTTTGAAACCAGTGGTTCACAAATGTTCACAACCCCTATTGCTTGATGATTATATATGGGATCATACTGATACTACCAAATACATTGGGGATCATCATCAAATATCATCAAATATCATCAAATATCATCAAGTAACATCAAATAACATCAAATAAAATTAAAATATCATCAAATATCATCAAATAAAATTAAAATATCATCAAATATCATCAAATATCATCAAATATCATCAAATAACATATCATCAAATATCATAATCCATGAACATGACCTGGGAAATCCCGGGAATCTCCTTCTTAGCCAAGCGCCAAGTGCCTTGTAAAAAAGGTTCACCAGTTCACCACCTGCGCCCCGCCGAGCTGCCGATCCTCCGCCCCAGCCAGTAGACGCGCTCGATCTCTTGGCTCCTGGAACGGCATTTCACCATAGCTGCCATAGCTATTTCACCATTATGACATCCATGGAGACGTCAGCCTCATAAATATGAGGATTTAAGCCTAAGCCAAAGCTTGAGATTTCACCATAGACCAATGGTGAAAGACTGAATGTACCTCTCACATTTCTACCATTCTAACCAGCCAACTGAGATTAGATTCTGGGATGCGAGCTGCCGATAAAACCACCGCAATTCAACAGGCCGGGCAAAGGTAAAGATTTGGAGATGTTCCCCAGATAAAACATGATGAAACGATTTGAAAGACATAAATCATCATGGTTCATCATGTTTCATCATGGAGAACATCTCGATCTTGATCGTATATTCCCGGCCTGCTTTCAGAGAGTCAACACACAAGGTGGGGCCATCTAAACTAGCTTAAGTATTGCTTATGATATATCTACTGTAGTATTCATGGTATGATCATGCAAGATCTATCTATCTATAGTTAATGAGAGTTTCTGGGGTTTATAAACCAACTTACGGTTTTCCCCTGCAGCATACCTCAGCATCTGCGCTTTTGGTGTAGACGGAGACCTTCCCCACAGACCTCGACGTCTGGGTCGGAAATGAACATGGATATCCTGTTTAAATGGCTGATTAATAGATAAAATGAGGTTCTAAACTTTCTAAACCGTCAACGTTTTGGGTAGCCTATTTTGAAACAACCCCTAATATGGCATATGGGCTATGGTTATACAATCAATGGCCATTTCCGGTACCTAAATTGCAGGTACCTACCATACAAGGCCTAATGTGAGGGATTGTGAGGGCTATGTAAGGGGATATGCTCCAAACATATGGCTCCAAATATGGTACTGTACCTCTATTTCATTATTTCAGGGTCCAATTTCAATTCTCATTGATATCATGGGAATCCTGAGGGCTTTGGCAGGCGAATTTCATTGATATCATTGCGCGGAAGTACACCCCTTGTAATGACAGAAAAAGCATGGGATTTCTCCGACGTATTTCTCCCATGATTTTTCGAAATAACTGAGACATGACTTGACAATACTTGACATAATTTGGCACAAAGCAATTCATAGCCTTAATGGATTCATGGACTTAATGGCCTCAGAGATTTCTCATCTTTCTCGGGATGATCCTACGACCTGTCTGCGGTTTTTGTTCAAAAACCGGGTGGCATGGCACACGACGCGCCGCCGGGACGAAATGCGGCGTTTTAGGCGGGTGGATTCTGAAAGAAACGATGGGTTGCTCTGCTTGGAACTCACTGGAGCTAGTAAAACACCATGACCATCAAAGCATCAAAGTAGCCATGTTTACATATGCAACAAATTAATACCTTCAGCTCAAATATGCCAAAATATACATACAACTGTTGATATGTTAGGTATATATTATGGAGAGGTGTGGTTAGTCTAGGTCAGCACAATCCGATCCAATTTTTGGCTTGACAGGTTGTAAAGGATTGGCTGGGTGAGAGCGCAGTCATGCAAAATCCAACTCAGTTTCTTCGGCATGTCCAAGCCTCATATTATATCATATTTATATATTGTATTATATCATATTATATCATACTATACTATGTGACCTCATAATTTGGGAATTCATAATGAACCCAGAACTTTTTCCTGAGTTTACTTTGTCAACCTCACCACTGGTTTCATGGGATCATATTTTGATGAAGTTGACTCTGAGAAAACCCAAAACCATGATGAATGGTGTTTTTTTGGTGGTGAACTATGGTTAGCTCCCATGAAAAATGATCATTTTGATGGCTCTCTAAATCTTACCCTCTGGTAAACTAACATAGCTATTGAAAATGGCCATTTATAGTGGATTTTCCCATTAAAAATGGTGATTACCAGAGGGTAATGACTGTTCATGGTCCGCGCTTATTGTCGTTGCACATCATGCTATTCTCCAGGCTACTCGATTGACTCGCTGCATCTCAGCCAAAGGCGGCGGGAACGATCCCCCAATGATATAAGATACCCTCTGGTAAACTAACAAAAAGCTATGGAAAATCACAATTTTTAATGGAAAAACTCACTATAGATGGCCATTTTCAATAGCTATGTCAGCCATTACCAGAGGGTATTCTCAAGATTTCAAGCATGGATCTTGTGAATTTCCAGGTGCTTAACTTTGCAGCCCATGTCACCATGTCCAATTCCCACATCGAAGCAGTATTCAATGATGGTCATTCAGAACCAACTTTCTTAAAGTTCCTCACAGTCCGCCATTCATCCAAGATAGCCTAGTGACACACAAACTTATCCACTCTCTCATAGTTGCAAAATAGCCATTGATAGATCATTTACCTACTAACAAGCACACATATCCATTGCTATGTTACATTACCAAACGGTATATTTGAATAATCTATCATCCCAAACCAGATTGGAGGATCACTTGAATCACTTGTCCAAGTTTTTTCTCTCAATCGATACCAAGTGATATTCATGGTTTGGGATTCAACACCATTTGTCTGAAAAATCTGGAGAACTTTCAGGAAGCTTATCCTCGAAAAACCATCGGCTCAACATGTTGAGGTCCTGGGTACAACTGGGGCACCACCGATTTTTGCCTGAAAAAAGATGGACAAGTCAAATTCGAATCTAATAGTGTGTGGCCAATTCGTGACCTTTTCAGTGTCTTTTTTGACATTTTGGTGGTCATAGACCATCCAAATACTCACAAAAATATCAAAAATGGTAAAGGTACTAAAATTATGGAGTAAACACAATTTCTATGGCTAGACATGGAGTATCTATAGGTCATTCTAGGTCTATATCTGGCACAAAAAGGGCTTATGGACCCCTGGCGGCAAAACAGGGCGCGGAAAAAGCACCCAGGTCCAGATCTGGAGCAGAGTCCGGGCCACACCTGGCGTGGCCTGACGTGGGTAAAACAAAGGAGAACTAAGGTAAAACAAAGCATGACTGATTCATGGCTGATGGAATTTTATGGTATTTCATGGGTTTTAAATGCTTTTAATTGGTTTTTATGGAATGTATAATGCTTAATATGTAGTGGTTAACAATGGCTAACAATGGTTAATAATGGTTGATATGATAATAATGGGTAAAATGGGAGATCATGCAATGTGGGGCCCCTGAACGATAGCTAAGTTGGTTTATAGACCCTATGTATATACTATACCTGGAAAGCCAAAAACACAAAAATTTCTGGTCATTATGGGAAAAAGCCGTAATGATCATGGTTGTTTGGTAAAATATTGTTTTTACCCGTAATGACCAAAAAAAGTTGTCAAATCAGAAGTACATTGCAGTCCTACCTGTAGCAAAACCGTATTTTTTGGACATTTTGTTGAACAAAAAAAGTAAAAAGCCGTAGCTGCTCTCAAACAAGCCTACCCGTAGCATAACCTTTTTTTTCGTCATTTTGTTGAAAAAAGGCCGTAAAGAGCTGTAGCAACTCTCACACAAGTGGCTCCAAACGATCAAAGCCGTAATGACCCAAAAAATGGTCAAGGCCGTTTGACAAAAAAAAGGAACTATGGCTTTCCAGGTAGTTACAAATATCATAAACAATAGTTATTAGAGTTATGTTCACCAACTTAGCTATCTTTTTGGGGCCTCACTTTGTACGGTTCTATGCTTTCAACTGCTCTTTAAATAACAGCATATGACGGTATATGATTGCCATATTGTTGGGAGCTATAATGCTGCACCTATTTATCATTACCCATAATCATAGATAGAACAGTTGGAAACCTGAAATACAGTAAGAAGGGAAATGTAATGGAACTAACTACCATCCTGGTACATGCATATTATGATATTTTAGTTACCGTATATTTATTGGGGATTATTGGGATACTGTGGAGGACGAGCATACTATATGGTCGGATGTAGCTAGTTTTTCCTTAAGACAGCATACTACCAAAATATTCTATGTGTACCCCCTGGATTTGAATATTCTAAGTGCTAACCACCCCGGGCTCATTTATGTTAAAAATTAACATAAATCCATATTCTAAAACTTTAATCTTTTTCTTCAAATTCTAAGTGCCTTGTGTTTTGAATATATGCTTTAATATATCTTAATAAATAACATACCGTAAATGAATAGACATGAATAGAAATTAATAGAAATGAAAAGAAATGATTCGAACTGCTTGTTAGTTCAGTTGCACGTCCCCACTAGGTTTTAAGTCTCTAGTGGCCCTCTTCGACACCGAATCAAACATGTCGGCCGGAGCTCCTTTGCGATAGATCTCCGCAAATGCCTCTGCCT